TATCAGTCAGTTTCTGAGCATGCTGCCATATCTCTGAAGGACTTTCCAAGCCGGTCTTCACGCAGGTCACGTCAGGGCGGTAGAGCTTTGCTGGCCGTTGGCTGCCCGGGCAGGGACTGATGGGCGCCCGTGCCGTTTGGGCAAGGTGAGGTGGCAGAATGAGGCGATCCTTCCAAGGCCCGGCCCGAAGCCTCTCATCAACACCGAAATCCATCTCTCCACCCTGTCACTCCCTATCTTCTGCCACGCCAAATACGCCTCGCCTTGCGGGCCCTGGCTGTCCTGGGTATCTCCGTCAACGCCTCATGCACTTTCCTCCCCAGGCATGTACACAGAAACCCTGTATTGCCCCTTAAAGGCCTTCAGCTGCACACATCTTCTCCCACGCAGCTATAGTTTGACGACTTAGCGAAGGACGTGGCGATAATGACTGCGACTGCCCCCAGTGTCCCGCTGTGTCTTCATCCCTAATATGGTCTTGCAGGGATTGTAATCTCACCTGCAGGTGTATGTAGCTGCCTGCCAGTCCTTTGGCTGTCGAGTGGCTGTCATTTTGTACCAATGAGTCATCATTTAATTTTAGGTCCCGTTTGCTGCTGTTTTTTTTTTTTTTTTGTTTTTTTTGAACGAACTCTCTGTTTGAACCTAACGGTGGCCGAAACCTCGCTGAGAAGGGCCGTCCCGTCGATTAGACTTTGTGCCGTTGGACTTGCGGTTTTCAGTTTTAGGATCCTGCTAAACGAACCGGTGTCATCCTTGGAGGACAGCCAAGGGAAAATCTCCCGAGCGGAACGGCAGGGATGGTGAGGATGAGTTGAGCCGGAGGGAAAATAAATGTGTTATTTCTGCTGCCTCGTGTTCCGGAGGAGCTGTGAGCCTTGGAATGGGGCAGGGCTCTGCTGGAAGGCCTCTCACCGTCTGCCTCTGACACCTTGCGTTTGTTAGTTTTTCTTGCCCCAGCGCGTGTGCTCTGGTTGGGTGGGCGAATCCCTGGAAGCCCCCCGCAGGGGTACAGGGCTCCTGCTTTTCACCCAGAGGTACCACTGCGGAGTGTCCCAGCTGTGGGCGTTGCCCTTGTCTCAGGAAGCCCTTTTCCAAAACCAGAGTTCTAATTTTTTATTTTTTTTTGGATGTGGCTAAGAACGAATTTCCATGTCTTGCAGGATTGTCTGAAATGGGATCTTGACTAAGAATATGCTGGTATTTATTTATTAGGCATAATGTGCGAAAGAGAGAAGTATGTCCTGGATTGACAGGAGGAAAAAAATATATATAAAAAAATAAATAAACAAAATCAAGCTTTAATTTCTGATCCTGGCTGATTTCCTCTTTCCTTAGTTTAATATTTATAAATTTTTTTAAAGCACTTTTTAATGAACTTCGCTTTCTGGAAGCAAAATAGCTCCGCGAGTGTCTAATTATATTGTTGTGCCAAATGGTTTCTGGGGCAGTTCCTCCGCTTACAACTTCTTGTTCACTTGTCTTACACACTGCGAATTTAACGTTTTTGTCTTTCTCTGTGAAGAAGAAGCATTCACTGGAAACTCTGCCTAGCTGCGCGTACATGGTGTCAAGGGGCTGACTAGGCATATGCTCCTAATGTGCTGCCTGCCTCAGTTGTATGCTGCTATTGACAAACGTGTCTGCTAAATGAATGTAAATATAGTGCCCTATCATGATTCTAACGGGGTATGACAAAATATCGCCATATATTCCACCACTGTTTGGGACAAAAAGCAGTGTTAGTTGGTACACTGCTTTATCAGCTCATAAAATCAGCCATATTTAGATTGATTGGCCGGTTACAGCTACTGAGGGCACAAATCGGCCATTTCTGGTCACTGGCTGTTTGATCAGAGCACCTTTAGTCTTAATGCCCTCTGATGACGGAGAAGTTAAGAATGATCTGGAAGTGATTGTGAGGACCAGCATAGTGAAGTATGTTATGTGTGAATATCGCTGCAGATGCAGAGATCAGGGTTGCCAGCTGTCACACATCTGGCGTGACTCTCACGCTCACACAAGAAATCTTACAGCAAATCTATATTATTCCATTATGAATCCTAAATTTGCTACAAAATGTGTTGGGGTAGTTTGCAAACCCTACAGACTATTCATAAGGTAATAAGACTGTTACATGTAAATGCATGTGCAGACTTGTCTCATTGAAAATCTCACACCAGCCAGCAGAACGAAGTTAACAAACCTGAGATACGATGGCAAAAGACTGATCTGGCAGGAGTAAGAGTCCTACAGCTGACATTTACGGGTGATTAAATCAGCAACCAAAACAAAGTAAGAGGTTTCCAGGAGGATTATGCCCTCTAATCACCCCAGACGCTGAGGGAATCATGCTGGGGGGGGTTATGACTGAACGTCTGCTGCATCCCAGTACGAAGCATCATGAAAATGCAAAGAAGCTGGGAGGAGTGGAGAAGCTGTTATGTTGTCGGGTATTTTCAGCTCACTTGTACGTTTCCAAGGCGACCGTATCAACATAACCTAGATTCTCCGGTGGGGCAACCAGAAGCCTCGTGGGAAGCCCTGTGACGGACCTCATGGCATACACCAAACCGACCGGTTCCAGTGGGGTATCTCTGCGTCACACTGTCTGCCTTCGAGAACTCTGTGAATCAGTGGTGTGCAGGTCTTTATCGCTGCCGATGGGGCCGATAGGCTGGTCCGGCTTAACTTCACGTACATCCTGGCTAGTGTCACTGTCACAGTGCCATTGTCAGATTTTTTTTTGGCAGGTTAGCTTCCTCTTGTAACAACGTTCCTCTTCATGCTCAACTGATCTGTGCGCCTCGGAAACAGAAAGTGTTAACTTCGGCTACTGATACGAAGTGTGGATCTCGCTGATTTTGATGCTGTGATGCTGGACAGCTGAGAAACACGAGAATCATCCTTTGGGCTGCTTCGCCGCTCAGTGATGCAGTGTAAGCCTAACCCTCGCATCTGTTCAGCAGCTGAGGAGCCTGCGTTGGCGCAATATGTCAACCCCTGAATGCAACACGGAAACATCTGACGGGAGGTCTTACTTTGACGTGTCTTGGCATTCCATCTTCTAGACTTGTTCCGGCATGTGTGCACACTCAGAGTGCCATCATTTGAGGGCTGCTTGTCATCTAGGTGAACATTAGCTCTTCTCAATCAGTCATTTCGCCAATTCTGTGAGGCCTCGCCCTGGCCCAACCCCCCCCTTCCAGACAGGAAGTGAATAGCAGCTGTTTGTCTCACTGAAGCCATGACTCAGCTAGGGGGTAGTTTCAGACCTTCCTAATAGTGTCGGCCTCTCCCTGCTAGGAACCCTGGGAATGCTTCCGATTTGTGTAGATGGAGGGGATAATCCAGATTGATGCTTCTTTTGGCCTACGAATGGGTCCATTCCGTTTTATTATTCCGCATCAGTGCTTTGTGATTTGTCTTGGGATCTAAACAATAAGTCATATTTTACCGGTTTATTGTTCTTTTGGGTTGTTAGGTGTTCTACTCCTTGGCAAGGTCTTCAAAAAGCCCTGCCCAGTTCATTGGGGGGGGGGGGTGGGTTCTGGCTCATTTCGTGCTCCGGCTCTCCACACATGTATGTGATAACATGACGAGGGTAGCATGGCTTCCATGTGGTGATGGTGTCACGCCGGGGGTCAGCGTGCTGTCCGTTGTGGCTTGTATCTGCAGCCACCTTCTTAGGGTTTCGTGGTTGGGGCATTTTACCTCACAGATGTGTGCCTCACAGATGTGTACCTCACAGATGCATTGGTTCTGTAGTCACTGTTTCACACCTCATTTCTCCCATCTCACTTTTCCAGACTCAGATTAGGATATAGACGCCTTCAGTCAATGCACAGGAGATCCCAGGATCTTCCCGTGTTTACCCAACATGCTCTTGCAGTGTGGTTTATCATCTGGCACCGGTTAATCTGCTATACTTTCTCTTTGCCTCCCTTGTCCTTCATCTAGGTTTGGATCTTTGGTGGATGGGGAAGGAAAGTCCAGCAGGCCTGTTAAATGTTTTTACTATCTGTAAGGGTGCAGCATCATCCCTCTGTAACCTTCTGGTGAAGCTCCCGGCACAGCGTTGGCTGCAGGGTTGCTGCACAGTGCGGAAGTTGCAGGGCTGCTAAACTGGGCAGCGCGTTATCTGGGGGCTGAAGGCAAAGTCGCTACATCCGCACCGACTTCAAAGCACCAGCCTCCGTGGACGTGAAATGCGAGTTTGCCTTTGAAGTGGAGCCACGCGCTTTTATTTTGACTTTGCAAAAGCCCCCGTGCCCTGTAGGAGCCGCTTGGTGACCTCCATCTTAACGGGGACCTGTATCATCGCGCTCGTGTGCCAGGACAGGTTGACAGCCCCCCCCCCCCCCCCCCCCCGAGGTTATTATGCTGGATGGAGGGAAAGTGAGGGACAGATGGTGCTCAAGAACTGAGTGGTTTATATGCAAGAGCTTGGTGTGCCTTTGATAGCCCACTGCTGGTCAGAGTGATTACCCATGGGGCCGTGCAGGGCACACAGGTGGATGTAGTGGGGGCTGGGAGGACGTCGTCTCTGAGCTTTAGAGGGATCCACTCTCCGCTTTTCATTTGTTTATTTTTTTTTTTATATCTGTTTCTTATTCTGGGACTGTGGCCTTTTGAGTTTCTTCTGTTGCGAGAGTCTTACTGCCTGTTTTGTACCACAGCAAACCTCGATCATGTTGTGGACCAGCAGTGGCCCATCAGGAATCTCATCCGGCCCTGATCCGCTCACAAACCTGCCCATTGAGAGTGTGATTATTAAATGTACCCTGTATAAATGGACTGCATGGATTTCCAGGGCCGAGGTCTCGGTTTGATTCTGTGATTGCAATCTAATAATCCTGATGTTGCTTCCCCCCTCTCGGGATGTTGTGATGGTTTGTTCCCAGCGTCTGACTCCTCTGATATTTTGATATCGAGCTGTTGTCTCCTGGCTGAGTTCAGCTGTGGGATACACACTGTGCTCACCCCTATCTTCTCCACAGGACACTGTAGTTGATGTGAGTACCTGAGGCAGTGCCAGCGGCCCCCCCCTCCCCCAGAAGCCATGCCCCCCCGCAAGCGAAACTCCGGGGGCCTTTCCTTCATCTTCTGCTGCTTCAAGAGCAGCGACCACCCGGAGATCACCTACCGGTTGCGCCATGACAACAACCTGGCTCTCCACACCATGGAACCCACCCTGCCCATGCCGGCCGTCGAAGAGCTGGACGTCATGTTCGCGGAGCTGGTGGTATGTCCGAGAAGGCCGTCTCCCCTCCCTCCTCCATCTCGAGGCCTCCAGAGATGCTCCTAATGTTGCAGGTTTAGTCTCATGCACGCTGTAGTTTGTAGCCAGCTGTATCTTTACCTTTACCTTGTACTGCAGTTGCTTCGTCCTGGGTATGACGTTAATCTACATCCAGTACTATAAGGAGGTTCTCCAACTTACAGGGAAACACAGGATTGGCCCTCCAGCCACTGGGGGAAAAACTCACACTGATCCATTCAGACTAGTGTGGTGCTGAGGTATCACCTGCCACATGGCTGCGCTCAGGTTCTCATCCCTGAGGTGTCGTGTCGTGTGGTGGATGCGGCGATATGTTCCTTACCTCCTCCTGTCCCTTATGGTGTTTAAACCTCTTTGATTGATGTTGCTATCTGTGGGATTAACATCTGAAGTCCGCTGTTTTGAACTGGCTTGCAACAGCATAGTGGGACTGGTTTCCTGGTGTCGGCCAGCACGTGCGGAGAACATGGGACTTTGATGTTTCCCTGTTTCTCTGCTCCTTAGCTCCAGCTGACCTGTCTGTGAATCATTAGTTGCTAGTGGATGTGTTCATCTTCAAAACGTCTGCAGTAATTTCCATAGTGTTCTCTATCTGCTTACCAGCTTCTCGTTTGGGTCTGTCGGATGTCACATCACTTGGGGGAGTTTACCAGCTTACCTGTCACTGATTAATCTCCCAGATAGCACTGCTAAAAGCCCTACACCTGGCCTACTTCCCTTCTTGTACACGGATAATTACTAACGGAGCTGAACCAGCCAGTCAGTCAGTCGACACTAATGTGGCTGTCCTGACACGTTCCTGTGCTCAGAGTCAGTCATCGAGCTCAGATGTTTCCTGTGGTCAGGAGCCAGCTGCAGGATGGCTGAATCTGCAGAGAAAGCGCCTGATGTGGTGATCTGCTTCCTGTTGTGGTTCTTTTCGGATCTGCAGCCTGGAGCTCATGCCTTTGTTTGGGAATGACTGGATGAGAGTGGGAGACTGCTCTCTGATGTCATAGACTGCTCTCTGATGTCATAGACTGCTCTCTGATGTCATTCTCAGTCCGTTTCCCATGTGGTGAGGCTTCAGCAAGGCTCCCCTGTTACCCCTCCTCGGCTCTTTAACCGGAATCCGTGCCTCTCCAGCAGACTGGCACACGGAGGCGTCTGCTTCTGCCATCCAGACCTCCCAAATTGCCCGTTTTTAACCGTGGCTTTGTGCCCCCTTGGCTCGAGCTCAGCCATCCAGACACGTCCATTTATGAAGGCCCACTGTGCACCCACAGTGCCCTCTGTTGGGTGGGCCTGGACCCACAGGGGTCTCATTTACGGGAACAGCGGGGATCTGAGGGTCAGTGACTCTCTAGGGTGGGAGCTTGCTGAGGCCTGCCAAGCAGAGAGCCTTGTTCTTGGCCGAGGGGAGATGGTGGGTCATTGAAGACCCGCCATTCTCCATGGGGAGGGGTCACACTCCTTTTCAGAACCTTGACCCCTTGCCCAGTTTGCTCTCTGCTGGCCCATTGAGCCATGCTTCTTCCCTTGAGAGAAGGACCAGACCGTTTTGATGACGTAAGCTGCAGAAGTTCAATTTAATATAACAGTGGTGCCCTTATTTGACTCTTCTTTCATTTTGTTCTTCAGAAATTAGAAGACTGACTCTGCCGTGGGGGAGAGCGTGATATAAATCCTTTTTCATTCACTCCAGACTGCAGTTTGATCTCCTTAAACAGACCAGAGCTTAATCGAATGAAATAGGAGTAAATCTGCGAGAGGTGTCTCTAATGCCAAAACGCGGGAATTTTCCGAGGCTCAACGTAATGTGCTTCAGTGACACCATCTGGAAGAGGTTGTTTCGTTTTTTTTTTTTTTCTTCCCTCTTTCTGTTTTGAACTTCTGCTTTGATCTTTAATGCTGCTTAGAACGTCCTTATCAGGCCGCTAAAAATGACCTTCGAACCTATTTTCTGTTCCGCTGCCTGGCAGGGAGTACATGACCTGCAGTCCTGCCCGCCGTGTCTTTGAGCTGGAAGGTTTCCAATGCTGCAGTGCAGTCGAGGATCACAGGCCAGGCAGTCGAAGCGCACAAAGTCCCCGGTGTTCCTTGATTAAATGCCCATCTCACCCATGATCCTCTCTGCCTGTGGCCTGAGGTTATGGTGTGTGAAAGACCTTGGCAAACAGGAGAGGACCTGGCAGACTTTTTAGATGTGTGCCATCACATCCATGCAGTCGAGAGCGTGTTTTGCACTTTAATGCTCTCTAATTCCCTTAGTTAATGGCAAAACAAAGTGGATCCCCCCAGCTTTTGGAGACTCAAAGCCAGCCTCCCCTGAAACACAGGGGTGCTGAAGACTGTGGACCTGTGGATTTCAAACTTTCTTGAAAATAACAGATGCTCATCAGAGAGGAGCACCAGAAAACCAATTGTGGGGTCTCATTAAATAATTATTATCTCTTGTCTTTGAGCATGTTGGACATAGTTGGCCCCCCAAAGGCTCTGATGCTGAGGAAGGTGGATGGAGGAAGGGGGCTTGGCTATGTGGACTGGCTGCCGTTGCTGCTGTAGAAACCTGGAGCCAGGATTTGAGTTACAGGACTCTGTGTGAAAGGGCTTAGTGTCAGAGCAGAGGATGATAGTCCATACTCCATACTCCATACTCTCCCCCATCACAGGTCACTGTGCTCTTAACAGACAGCAGTTAGTGTGAGTTGACGGAAGGAAAGACGGAGAAGGAGAGTAAGGGAAGTCAGATGCAAGGAAGAGCAGATGCTGAGTCCGAGGTGATTATGGGATCCCTGGAGAGGCAGAAGGGATGGGGGCGTGCACACAGCGGCAGTAACAGCAGGATGTGACCTTTAGGGTCAGCGTTGAGGTTCAAACATTTGAGCCAGTATTGGAAGTGGCAATGCTGTGGGCAACATCTGGCCAGAGATGGACCTCATTGTTTGAGATCAGAAAACTCTTTTTGGATGGAAGGGCATCATAATGGATGCAGGTACTTGAGTCACCATGGTAACACTCAGCTAAACACATTACATTGCCATGTGCATCATTGGGTTAGGCTTTGCCCTATCCTTGAGGTCACATGGACCATCACAGAGTCACCGTTTTCTGAGTGATTTCTCTGGGTGCTGATGAGACTTGTTGAGGATGGCTTAGGGGCTTTATAGCTAATAAGTTACACATGAAGTTGTTGACTTTGCACCCAGACATCTGGGATGTGTTTCACCACAGACTGTTGCTAAGGAATGCGGCGCCGAGTTACGTAACTGCACCGGTCCATCTCTCAGCAACCCCATGGTATGGCTATGGCCAACACGTGTTGCATAGCTGTTACCCAGATGGGCCCAGAAATCACCTATGCTGGCAGACCCACTGCGAAGGCCTGTACTGCTTAACCCACTCAGCCAGCTCACTGGCGAATTTGGTGGCTTAGTATGGGAGGCTAACACGGTAACGTTGCTGCCCAAACTGGAATAGCTTTTTAAGGGATTGTACATGAGGGTTCGTATGTCCTAGAGCAGGGTTTCCCAACCCGGTCCTCGGGTGACCTACAGACAGTCCACATTTTTCCTCCATCTTAGCTCCCTGCCAGGCGGTCCACATTTCTGCTCCCTCCCAGCTCCATACCAGGAACTGGGAAGGAGTAAAAACATGGACTGTCTGGGGGTCCTCAAGGACCGGGTTAGGAAACACTGTCCTAGAGAGCAGTGTGTCTGCAGTCATGATCACCCACGGCACTGCTCCATTATCTAAACGAAAGCCTCTTAAATAATGAAGAGACACACTGCTCTCTAGGACAGTGTTTCCCAACCGGTCCTTGGGGACCACCAGACAGTCCATGTTTTTACTCCCTCCCAGTTGCTGGTCTCAAGTGTAGGTAACTTTCCCATTTTCCCTGCATGGTTTCTGTGGTATTCCTGATTTCCTGCTGTTTGTCCCCCTCAGGGGTGCTGCACTGTTGTAATGCAAGGAACTTGCTACAGGGACCAGGACAGAGGGTTGCTGGGAAATGGAGTTTTCCCACTGGAGGTTCAGGAGGAGGAGGATCATGCGGTTATTTATGAGAATGCGCCAAACCGTGTTGAAAGGCCCTGTGTCTAAGAACCATGCCGTGATATGTGTGTGAATTATAGCATTTTTTTTCCTGCACAATTTCATTAGGTTTAGCAAATCGCATTAATAAGCCACTGTGGGTATGATGCTGTGTGTGACTCCTGCTTCCTCCCCTTTTCCTCCCAGGATGAGCTGGATCTCACAGAGAAGCACAGAGAAGCCATGTTTGCCCTCCCAGCGGAGAAGAAGTGGCAGATTTACTGCAGCAAGAAGAAGGTGAGGATGTTGGGTGAGTGTGAGTGGGTGAGTGTGTGTGAGTGTGCGTGGGTGAGTGCATGTGCATATGTGACAGCTGATGGATATCAAATATGTCACCTTGCCAAAGTTGGAAGTTGGATGTATTGTGTGTGTGTGTGTGTGTGTGTGTGTGGGGGGGGGGGGGGGTGTGTGTGTGTGTGTGTGTGTGTGTGTGTGTGTGTATATGTTGGGGGCTGTGGTGGGGGGAGTGGGATCAAGAAGGGAACAGACCCTCCCCTGTGAAATGGCTCTTTCATCACCGGTGCCAGAGAAAGCACGACGCACACATAGCCTGACACGCAGCCCCCGCCTGACACGCAGCCCCCGCCCGACACGCAGCCCCCGCCCGCTCATCAAAGCCATCCTTTTGTCCGCCCCTCCGAAGGGAGTGCGCTTCACCTAACTTTGAGGGAGTTGTTTTCCAGGAAACCAGTCCATTAAAGAAAACATCTCCTCTGTCAAATTCCCGGTGGGTAAATCTCTCAGCGAATGGGGAGGCCTGTATTATTAATGGGCCTCGTTCACATCCCAGACGTTCACCTCATCCAAGTCGGAGTATTTCATCCCATGCAGGATCATAGGCGCTCGACTTGCCCAAAGCCAAGTTGCTCCTTAAGTGAGGTCGCACTTAATCCGATCTGCCAGGGCATCAATCTTCTGGGGTCCCGCTCTTCAGGCTGGTTTAAGGAGTACTGATGAGCCTCAACTGCTGGTGAGGGCACAACTAAACAGCTGGCTTTGACCAGTTGTCTGCTGTTGTTCCCTAAGGGCTGTTCAGTGCCACAAATCACAGCTGCTGCAGGGAGCGTGACATTATGAGGGTGAGGAACTCCCTGTGGACCAATCTGGCATATCCCATAATGCCCTGTGACCCCATTGTTAACTCCAGGCTGCCCATTGGGGGAATTCGTCCATGAACTCAATGGCTGTTTCATTAAATCACGTATGCTGCAGCCACTTAGCCGAGAGTGGTGGGTCAGGAGGTCATGAGGTCAGTGGGAGTGTTGTGATGGGCACATCTGTTCTTCTCCCACCCCCCCAAGAACACTAGACTCCTACTGCCTGACTACTGCTGGGGCTATGTAAACCGTTCATCCTGTTTGGTCATGTGGACCAATCAGGTTTTTGGGGGTGTGTCTAATTAGTGTGCTGCTCCTCAACAGGCGTGGTCTGCTGCCTCATTTGCTATAGTTGCCGGTGGGTTCCCAGGTTCTGCAGAGAGGAAATGTCTCTGGAGACCATCTGCGAGCATGCAGAAGCGATATATGAGAAGCTCTAAGGATCGGGGGGGGGTTTCTGGCCTTTCACTGTGGGTGGTTCTGCTGAGTCGGTGAATCGGGCAGCTGAGTCTCAGCTGAGGTAGAACTCCTTGGGTCAGGAATGTAAGAAGTTTCTTCTGTCACTGCTCTCCTTGATGTTAGGAGGCACCAACAGACAGCCTAGAGGAAATGTTTGGGACTGTTGTCTCATGTACACAATTGGGCAATATAGGAAGAAATGTACACCATGATCCTTAATTCTTTTTTTCAGTGCTGTGTTTGTGCATGTGCTCGTCGAGTGAAGGTTGCGTTGGTCAGTGTTGCATTCTGTGTATGAGCAGGCTTGTGAGATGGCCTTCTGTTGCCTGGGAGATGGTGAGCTCTCCCCCGTTTCCAGTGACCATGCGGAGATGACAGTTCAGTGCTGTATTTCACACGCAATTGCCACTGCTGACCTCATCCCCGGAAACTAAATTTCAGGCACCCCAATCACTGCCTCATGTGACTCCCTCTCCTCAAGTATCATAGGAGATGAGTCTTTCTGGTCCTTTAGGGTTCCTGAACCCAGTCCCCCGGTGAAATAGATATCTATCCCCCATTCTGGTCTCGCTCTTAAATTTCTGCCTGTCAGTGCAGTCTTGGTCAGCAGCACAGCCGTCAGTCAGAGACGTTCTTGTACAGTTCCCCCATCCCAATATCCTCCTAAAAAGTGATTCATGGGACAGCCTGGCAGTGGTCCGGGAACGCGGCACCTGCTGGAAGCGGCATTCTGCATTTGGACAAGTTTGAAAGGTCTCTGTTTGACTTGGTGGGAAGGCACTTTGAAAGCAGATCCGACCATTTAGGGAGCCGCGGTGCTGAAACGTCGAACCCGGACACGCCAGCTGGGACCTGATTACGCTCCAGTTATGAGTGCAGGGGCGTCCGACGTGTAATGCTGGGGTCTGAACAGTGCGGCTAAAAATATTTTTAAGGATTGAAAGTGATCTGTTTAGCCATAGTCTGAAGTTCTACATTTAATAGACTGGAGGCAACTTGTGACTATGTGCTGATCTGTGGTTGAGGTCCAACACAAATTTCAGCATGATTAATGTCTTGGCTTAGCTATAGGCAGCCAGTGCTCTGAAGGGGGATGGCTATTCTCTGAGAACCGCTGGTCCGGGCGGTATGTCGACCCCAGCTTGCTGTCTGGCTACTGCACTGATGAGCATGACTCTGTGGTCTGATGAGGACTCCAGTCCTCCAAAGTCCATTGGTATCAGGAGAGGAAGCATGTGGGTTTTCCAGAACAAACAGGACGAGTACAGCCCACACAGGTGCAGCTCTTTTGCCCCCCCCCCACTGCCCCCACTACTTCATTCAACAGCCATTGTATTCAGCAAGACTCTGATCACTTCCCCAGTCAGCTGCACCCGCACCCCTGATTGCCTGTTTGGGTTGCATCGTCCCTCACTCACCACTTTGCTTCCTGCAGCATTGAGTGTCCCTGTTTGCTGCTGTTGCACATCCATTGGCATGCAAATTAACTATACACTGTTCCCTCTTGTTGACACACAGAACATTAAGGACCTTCAACAGACACAATAAACCGCAGATGTAGTACCGAGTGGCGGGGCACTCGTCTGCCAGTCCCGCACCCCGACTGTCCCCCTCCAGCTTCCAGCACTGGGGATCATTTAGAACTTGTGCTGGGTCTGGTCCAACTCCCCCATCCAACATTGCAGGGAAATTGCAGACCCCCGCTGTAATACAATGGCTTCGAGACTTGGTTCTGGACACTGACGTGTGTTTCGTCTGTTTGCCAAGTCGTTCGTTCTTGTTCTTTGGCCTGAGGAGTCTCCTTCCCCCTCTTAAATGTGAATGTAGACCAGTCTCTTATTGGTCAGTAAATTACAGCACAGCTGTGGGTTACAGCACCTCGTTGTGCTTTGCCAAGCTTTGCTCTGTAAGGGTGTATAGGATTCCAGTCTGGGAAGAATGTTCTGGAAGTAAATGGGAGAAGAAAACACCACAGTAGGCCTGCCCTTGCAGTGTGAACCTCAGCCAAACACCTGAGAAGCCTTTCAGGACTGTGCGCTCACTCAGAATTCCCCTTGTCTGCAATTTCTTCTGAGGTATCAGTTTAGAATCAGCGTTTACCCTTTAATATTATGTTCGGTGTATCCTCCCCTACGTACATGCAACAAAGTGTGCGCCTTTATCCTGCGTGCGTGCAGTGCAGGATGCTTGATCTCTGACCTCCTCACATTGATTCTTGCTGTTCTAAGCCAAGCATGTGAAGTAGTCACCGAATGCAGTTTGGGTTATGTTCAGGAAGCAGATCACCAAGTCTGGTGGCCTTCAGGGTGCTGGGGTGATGCCAGCCTTTGCAGGAGCAGTGACTTCCTGGCTTTTGCTGGGAACCTCCTGCTGTTGTTCTGATTTGACCTCTTAGTCTGGATGAGCCGATTCAGAGGGTCTGACCTTCAGAGGGTCAGAGGGCTCTGTCTGGGGTCCCTTCTGCCCTCCTGTCGCTGTGCCTCATGATTGGCCTTTTCCCTTGTTCTTCCTAAATGTTATTGGGGCGGGTTGTTGCTCAGGAGGTTAGGACTCCTGTGATTGGAAGGCGGCCAGTTCAAATCCCATGGCCATGGAGTGATTTCAACTTTCGTCCCCTGAGCAAGGCCCTTAACCCCAATAGCTTCAGAAACTGGTTGATCCTGCTCTCTGTTGTACATCACTTTGGATAAACACATCCGCTAATTAAATGAAAGGTGCTATTGGTGGCAGAGTAACCAGGAGATGAAACGGTAGAATGACGCCGTCTTGTTAGGGGACTATTGGATGAGCTTTGTGATGACTCTTGAAGTAAATTCCATTTGTTCCCTCTAATATAAGAAAAATACACAGAAAATGTATGTTGCTGTAAGGTGCTAGTATAAAAAATGTCATGTTCAGGTGAGTGTAGTTTGTCATCAGCCATAAAGAACGCATTCTTGGTGGAGTGTCACTGAGGACTGGCAGTCGGTCGTCCTTCTGCGATTGGCAGGTACCGGAGTGTGAGGGAACTGAGGCTAAAGCACCTCCACTCAATGTATGAAACGGCCAACACCGGCCAACATAAAGGTCCATGTCTCTTCTGCCCTAGTCTTTCACATACCTACACTTGAGTATAAAGGGCCACAATCAGTTCTCACCTGGTTAGTTGAAAAAAAAATCTTAGTCTGGTTTTGTACTTTCTACTTCTGGTTTTTAATTTTAGCCTGAGAGGTTTTCGTTCGGCAGCCTGTGCCTTTTGGTGCTTCTTGTTGCTACGGTGTGATCCTCAGCCTGTGCCTTTTGGTGCTTCTTGTTGCTACGGTGTGATCCTCACTTAAAACCTCCCGATTCTTATGTTCCAGGAGCAGGAAGAAGACAAATCAGCCACAAGCTGGCCAGAGTTCTACATTGACCAGCTGAACTCCATGGCTGCTGTGAGTATGGTGGCCTTCTGGGTCCCAACTGGACCTCCCCAGGCCTGTTACATGATTCCATGATTTTCATTGCCCATTTAACAGTTTCTGTCATTTTATAGACCTATTTTCCTGCTTGTTGTAAGTGGCTCATTATTCAGAATTTGAGGGAAATTAAAGCTATTTAATGTGTTTTACTACCCAACATGAATGAGCTTGGCTAGGGGTGATTTTGTGGGTGATCTGATGGAATTTCACTGAAACCTGGGTATCCAAAGTCTACATTTTAAAACCACCATTAAAGGACACTGGTGACCACTGTGGGTAGAGACAAAGGGCTTAGCGTGATGGGCAACATGATGGACCGTAGCGTGTCTTAGCATTTTTGCTAGTTTCCCAGGACACCGGTCCTAAACCTGTTCCTTTTTGCCTGTGTATTGTGAGCTCAGAGACCCTGTTTTTATGGAGTCTTGATTGAATCAACAGAGGAAGACTCTCCTGGCCCTGGAGAAGGAGGAAGAAGAGGAGAGGAACAAGACTATTGAGAGCTTGAAGACGGCCTTACGGACACAACCCATGAGGTATTTGTGTGGCTGGGATGCACTCATATACACAGTGCGAGGGGTCCGGCAGCATTTGACACATTAGGAGTATGGGATGCTATTTGGTGTGTGTGTGTGTGTGTGTGTCCCCCCAAAATGATGGAGACCAAAGTATTGACCTTAGGTTTGGAGACACACAGTAGCAAGCGAAATGAGCCTACAGTAATGCACGCCTCAGCTGGGAGGGTGGGGGATCTCTTTGGGGTTCATCTGTGAGGAGAGTGGTTAACTGGACGTCAGTGGGGCTAGACCTTTGGATTTAGCAGGGATCTGAAGAATTCAGGGTTACCTGTCAGATTAGGACCAACCTCAGGCTTGCATGGTTGCTGAAATGCATTTTGGCATCTCATGTATAGTTGAAGGTCTTTTTGGTCCCTCATAAGGAGCAGGGCGCACTGTTTTCCATGGGCAGCCCAATCATGATTCATGCTTTCATCACTTATCCTTGCTGGAGCACTTTTGATGTCTGTCACAAAAAAAGTTTCTTGTGTTCATTCAGCACGATCACTGGGTCGCAAGACTATTGGTGTAGAATGATCCACTTCATGTTTAGTCTGCAGAGTTATGTGAAGCAGTCTTCAGCAGGTACCTAAGAAATGAGATCAAAAGCACTTTCTTAAACAGCTTTCTCACCCTTGAAAGGTTTACCTAAAAGGATTTTGACCATCAGCTCCTGAAATCAAAAGCATTTCTTCACCATTTTCACTCTTGATTTCTAACGATAATCCATCAGACATTTGATAATAATTATTCAATACTGGCCCTCCAGGTTTGTGACCAGGTTCATTAACTTGGATGGATTGACGTGCATCCTGAACTTCCTGAAAAGCATGGACTACGAGACCACAGAGTCACAGATACACACCTCACTCATTGGCTGCATCAAGGCCCTGATGAACAACTCGCAGGGCCGGGCCCACGTGCTTGCACACTCGGAGAGCATCAACATCATCGCACAAAGCTTGAGCACAGAGAACATCAAGACTAAGGTGGCAGTGCTGGAAATCATGGGTGCCGTCTGCCTGGTCCCTGGAGGCCACAGGAAGGTCTTGGAGTCCATGCTACATTACCAGAAGTTCGCTTGTGAGAGAACACGCTTCCAGGTGTGGACCTTGATTGATAGCACATTTAGTTAAATTGGCCCAATACTCCGTCTCTTTAAAGTAGTACTTGGGTGAGGCATAACCTGTGGGACTTGGTCCAAACACAGGGACAAATGAACTGATTGTTAAGAGCTCTATTTTCTCTTGTGGACAGACCCTGCTGAATGATCTGGACAGGAGTACGGGGCGGTACCGGGATGAGGTTAACCTCAAGACCGCTATCATGTCTTTCATCAATGCTGTCCTCAGCCAAGGAGCGGGGGAGGTGAGTACCCGGCTGCCCCTCATTTCCTACACAATAGCCCACTGTCTCTAAAATGACCCTGACTTTGTTGTGTGTTTTGCAGGAGAGTCTTGAATTCCGTGTCCACCTACGGTATGAGTTCCTCATGCTTGGCCTTCAGCCTGTCATAGACAAGTTGAGGTCACATGAGAATTCCACGCTAGATCGGTAAGTCTGGCCTCTGTCTCCTAATTCTCCAATTTTTCTCCCATTCAGTGGCTCTCGTTAAACCCCCATGTGATCTGTTGCAGGCATCTGGACTTCTTTGAAATGCTAAGAAATGAGGATGAGTTGACCTTGTCAAAGCGGTTTGACACTGTGAGTATCCACCTGAGTTATTTATTTATTTTTTTGTGCAAACTCATTGGCTGAGTTGAAGAGTGATGTCACTGTCCTTGCGGTATAGGTGCATGTGGACACTAAGAGTGCTACCCAGATCTTTGACATCATCCGGAAGAAGATGAACCACACAGATGCGTACCCACACTTCATGTCTGTCTTACATCACTGCCTTCTCATGCCTTGTGAGTGTTTCCTGCATTTGCTATAAAGAACTTAAACCAAGATCCCAGTGGTCTAGGTGGACCCTGAGATTAAGAGAGTTGGGTTCAGTCCATTGTGGCCCCGTGTCTTTTTGCTTCGTGTCTTGTTGTGCCAAACTGTTGAGCACCCATCTTCCACTCCTCTAGACAAGCGCAGTGGGAACACGGTACAGTACTGGCTGCTTCTGGACCGCATCATACAACAGATGGTCCTGCAGACTGACAAGGGTCAAGATCCTGACATCGCCCCATTGGAGAACTTCAACGTGAAGAATGTGGTGCGAATGTGAGTTCCAGGGCCAAAACACTTATGATGTATGCGAGAGTAGTCCTGGACCAAGCATTTCCTGCCTTGTCTAATAAATACTTGTATGTGTAATAAGACTTAAAATTGGAAAAGCGGAATGTATCCCTAAATCCTGCATCAGAAATTAATGTCAACTGAAGGCGGGTTTGACGAGTCTTCAGTTTTGCAAACACGGCATTAAATATTTTGCTCCTTACTGACTGAAACTGTCTCCTCTTATCCCAGCCTAATGTTCTGTATATACAAATTGCTGTCTAAGCTTTATTGAGGAGCAGCGTCTTCTCTGCATTAACTAGATGCTGCGTATTCTGTGGTATTGATTGCCCGATTGATTTTATGGCTCTGTATAACTAATGGTGCATCCCGGTGCAGGTTGGTGAATGAAAACGAAGTCAAGCAGTGGAAAGAGCAGGCTGAGAAAATGAGGAAAGGTTAGTGAATGAAGCTTTATCTCGAATGGTTTGTTTTGTGGCGATGGCGCGCCATTAGGGTTTCTGTCTGTGCATGACGTGGATGACCTGTGTGTCCTCCGACTCTGACAGAGCACCAAGAGCTGCAGGTGAAGCTGGAGAAGAAGGAGCGGGAGTGCGACGTCAAGACGCAGGAGAAGGAGGACATGATGCAGACGCTCAACAAGATGAAGGAGAAGCTGGAGAAAGAGGCCAATGAGCACCGCATGGTCAAGCAGCAAGTGGTTGACCTCTCCTCTAGGCTGCACGAGCTCAGCACTGTATGTCCACCTCCCACAATCCTTTGTTGCTGCCCGGGCTTGCCCCCCCTCCCCATGCTGTCTGCAGTCATATTCACTCACGTGTACCTGTGTTAGCCTCAGTTAACATCATGCGAGAACCACATGAACAGCCTACCCAGTCTTCATCCAAATGTGACAGTGTACATTGGTTATGGTCTGTCCTTGATTTTCTATGGCTTCCCAAAAAGCTCATTTACTGATGTTCAGGTTTGCACTGTAGGGTTTGTAGGTATCTGTGTTGGAGCTACTGAGCAAAGCCAATGTCCCTGATCCTTCACTGTGTTTTCTCTTGCACACGCTTTCATGGTGGTGTTCCAGCGACCGCCTCCTGCTGACCCTGGAAGCTCGGTCATTCCTGGAGCCCCAGGTGGACCCCTGCCCCCCCCTCCCCCAGGGGCCTCTCTACATCCACCGCCTCCACCTCCCGGAGGTGGCCCGCCGCCGCCACCACCACCACCCCCTCCTCCGGGCGGGCCTCCACCTCCTCCTGGTCCTCCTCCACTTGGTGGGGTTCCACCCATTCCTGGAGCCCCCCTGGGGCCATCTCTGAAGAAAAAGAAAATTCCCCAGCCGGGTAACCCCCTCAAGTCGTTCAACTGGGCAAAGCTGGCAGAGGTGAGTGTAATCGAAGTGATCAGAGGCCAAAAAATTTCTGCCAGCTCTGGTGTTTTTTTTTTGGGGGGGTTTTTTTGCACTATTTATGCTGTTATTGCCGTTGTGCAAGGGTGTAGATTTGGTGTCAACCCTGGTAGGGACCAAATCAGCTCTGAACCCCCCCACCCCCCTAAACACGCACAGTACTCCCACAATATTGGTGGGGACATGTCCCTCCCCTCCATACCCAAATCAGCGCCATTGTCGTGCCAATAGCTGATATTATTTATCACTCTTATTTATTTATTTATTTTATTTATTATTCACTCATTCATACTACTTTGTCCAGCTCTTCTGCTTCCATTTGCTCTAAACATCTGCATTGTCTGCTAATGTTGTCATTTCTTGGTTAATTTTTGCTTGTGTATTTGTTTATTTGCACTTTTCCTATCTGTCTCTGAACTTTATAGATATATTTTGTTTTACATGATGAATATGGCTGGTGTAACAAAGCTCCACTTGAGACTTGAAAAATGCTTGAAAATGAAAGTGCGAAATACGAGAAATTATTTGATATCTCTCTCATGCATATGTACTTGTTAGGTATGTCATGGAAATGGGTCTGCACACCCACATTTATTTGTTTGCATAAATAAAAAAAATTTTTCTTCTTAGAAATCTCCATAAAGTCCGTACATCAATATCAAGTTGACTTTACGAAGATTAACAATGGGGAAATTACGTGAAATATCTTTAGATGGGCTTGTGTTAAGATTCATTATTATTATTATTATTATTAACACTTTGTTCCTTCTGTTTTAATATTGTCATTATGTGAAATATATAAATTGATAATGAAATAAACACACTGTCTATGCTCTAATTTGACATGTGGTCTTTTTCCTTCCAGAACAAGCTGGAGGGCACCGTGTGGATGGAGGTTGATGATGCCAAAGTCTTCAAAGTCTTGGACCTGGAGGACATTGAGAAGACCTTCTCTGCGTACCAAAGGCAGCAGGTAGAGTTTGGTTGCATCCCCCTCGGTTCCCCTATACAGGAGGACTATATGGTTCCCAGTCCCAACATAAGCACCACAGTGACCAAACTGTCTACCGGACACTTGTGCTATCCTGAGCATGCTATTGCTAGTTGCCATGGTTACCCATAAACATGCATGTTCTGGTGCATGTACCAGTGCAGCTGACTGAACAGCTTGGCTTCTGCTGAACAGTCCCAAGGTGCTCTCAGATGCTGGCGGCGTGCTTTGATAATGACAGAGGGCTTCATGGATGTTTTGAGCCATCTTACACACACAAGTGCTAGTCTGTTCAAATCTTGACTGATCTGTTGCTCGGAGGCACTTGATAAGTACTTTGGCTGGTTGTGTTGTGAAATCAGATTCCCGCTGCCTCATGTTTGCCTTTGGAATCTGTCCCTAGTAAAATCCTTGCTGGTTTCTGCACGGAACACCTATAAGTGTCCATTTGGAGACGTACACTTGCTGCTCATTTTAAAGATCTTTCAGCAAAATTCATTGATTTGAAAAAGACACTTGTTAACCCCGAAAGAAGGTTTACTGGGACAGTTTCTGAGACATGATGCCAGAAAACTTATCCAGTTCCACAACTTGCTCATGGTAACATGCTTATTTGCTTTTATCAATTTGTGGCTCAAAATTCAGTACTGAATTGAACGTCTGGACCAGATTTTGGCAGTTATAATGTTTAAATTGAAACATTCAAAGTTGTGGTAATGGGGAAGTTTTAACGATTGATTTTTGTTTTCCCCTCATTAAAGCAACAGTGATATTAATGATTGGCGTCATGCTCACCCACGGCTCCCTGCTAATTTGTTTCCCACAAGTCTTTGCTGTGGTCATCAGTGATTGCTGGCTTCTTTTTTATTTGCCAAACTGCACTTTCCTACTAATGAGTGCCTGCATTCTTCCTGCTGCCTGCATTTTCAGGACATCTATTTGGTCAATAACAACAAGCAGGTGAGTGACTGCCTCTGGCCCAGTGCCCTGTCCTTGTCTGTTCCCGCGTCCGTGTGCCGTCCAACTTGTCCCCTGTCTTTGTGTCACCCCTGTTGACGTCTGCGGTGGATAAGATCTCTGCAGTTTGTAGGATGTAGCTTATTGTCTGTTTGGTTGTAGCTGAGCCCGGCTGCTGTAAACTGTATCCCAGCTGGCTTGTGGGGTGGGGGGTGGGGGGGGGATTATGTTAGGTACAGTTTAACCCCATCTTTTGGTTTATTGGTTACCACTTCAGGATGTGTCTGTGTGCAATTAGCCGGCCGCCAGGCTTGTGGCACTGCAGCGATTTTTCCACAAACAGCTGGGGTCCTGAGGTGGTAAACGCTGCAGATTTCCACATGCTATAAAAGCGTACAGCCAGACGGGCCCCCAGAGTCCCGCACATCCCCTTTAAATGGGCTTCCTCTCCAGGTCTTTTCCACCCCCCCCCATCCAAAAAAGCTTGCCGGTCTGTCACGTTTGTGCGTTTGTGTCGTGTTTCTCTGAGTATTTTGTGATTTTTCTGTGAATTAAATACTGATATTAGTCTGCACGTACCTGGAGGTGAGTCATACAAAATGGTACGCTACCCCCCAGCAATGACCAGACCCCTTAAGGCTCACTGGATACCATGCTGCCTAATCCCTATTGTATCCCATTAAAGTCAATTTCTCCTGAGTTTAAGTAAATTATTGATGTTTGACATATACCCAGAATGCTCCAGGCTTGGGACGAGTATATCATTAATAGAAATGGGAGGGGTGGTGTGGCCCCCATCCTGCCCCACCCTGCCCCACCTGTTGACCTTGTGAGAGCTCCTTAACACCCTCCTGCTCCATCCTTTTCTCCCTGCAGAAGGAGACAGAGGATGACACCCTGACCTCCAGAAAAGTCAAGGAGCTGTCCGTCATCGATGGGCGACGGGCCCAGAACTGCAACATCCTGCTGTCTCGGTGAGAGTGTGACTCGCCTCACATGTGATGTCATCCGCATTTTAGTGTCTAATTATCCTCCTTACTCCACAATTAAGGAATTTTCTTTGTCGGCATTGTCCTTCTTTCCCCGTTCCCTAGGAAGTCATTTTTCACATCTGTCAGCACATTTTAACATCTGTCTGAGCCAAGAGCTATCTTTAACCTTTTCGTATGGGGATGGACTTGGCCCAGCTTCGTGGACTCTGGCCTTAGTCACGGCGGTCCCTGGTTTCCATGGCAGCAAACATAAACAGAGTGCTGTGTCTGTATTGTTATCATTAGGTTTTGTGTGTCCTTATCCCACAGCTATGACTTAAACCTGGAATCGCATCGCAGTCTGGTGATGCACGTTCCTGGGAGTGAGGTTTCATTAGTTCCTGAATTTGTGGTGTTAAAGTACAGCTTATATTACTAAGAAAATATATTATAGATTAATGTCCTGCAGTTACGTTTTCATTTAAAAAATGTGCCTGATCTTTAAAAAAGTTGTTGAAGGAATACTGGATGTCGTTATGTTGTGTTAAATAAGTGCTTGTGTTTCTGATTGGATCAGACACTGCTGTGTAACCCATGAGCAGTGAAACTGTGCGATAGGTCATCAGTGAACCTTTTCTAAGCTGCTATGACCATCAAACACCAGGGGAGATTTTAAACTAGTCAAAGTGTTTAGTCACTCTGAGCCAAAAGCAACCAGCCAGTGCATTTAAACTGGATGCCAGTTTCCTCAGTCGAGTCTGGTCTGGCATCAGCTGTGAGCTGCAGACCTTTCTGCTAAAAAGACATAAAAGCGACCACGATTAGACTTTAGCTTGTGTGTTTCCCGTTCAATTCTGTGCCATAAAGCATTCCTGTTATAGAAAGAGCCAGCTTGTTATCTGGGTTGCTGATGTCAAAGTTTGATGTTTAGGGTTGAGGTGGGACAGCTTGGGAAAGTGAATGTGTGTGTGTGTGTGTGTGTGTGTGTGTGTGTGTGTGTGTGGAGAGCTGGGGGCTCTGCTCTTTGCCTCCATTTTATCCTAAATCTGTAAACTGCTCTTGTGGGATGGAAAATTACAGAGATGAGGGTGGGACACATGTGTGTTTGGGGTCTGTGCTGACTGGGTGTGACTAGATATAGCTGAGGAATGTATGATCTGCCACAGTGGGGTTGAATGGGAGGGTGAGTGGGGCCCATTTTCAGGCATCAATGTGGGCGGGGCCAATTTCAGGCGATACGGTGGGGCTAAAAGTGATTGTGGGCGGGGCCCATTTCCCAGTCAGCATGGTGGGTCAAAGTGAGGGTGGGTGGGGCCCTGTTCGTGGTGGGTGGGTATTGTAGTGATGCTGCTGAAGTTACGGTCATATGGATGCAGCCATTGCTCCCTTTCTGATTGTACCTCTCTGTTGCAGGTTAAAGCTGTCCAACGAGGAGATCAAGCGGGCCATCTTGACCATGGATGAGCAGGAGGACCTACCTAAGGACATGCTGGAGCAGGTGGGTCTTTGCTTGCACTTATGGAGGAACTGGGGGGGGGGATTAAAGGTTTTAATGAAAAATTAAGCGGGACAACAACATCGGTGTTAGAGTTCAGTGTTCACTAGCCTGGACTTTGCAGCTGAGACTTAACTCGAGATCTGCGAGTATCTCTTCACTAAATACATATACTGCCACGTTCCCCGTCAGCTGCTGAAGTTCGTCCCCGAGAAGAGTGACGTGGACCTGCTGGAGGAGCACAAGCATGAGCTGGACCGCATGGCCAAAGCTGACCGCTTCCTCTATGAGATGAGCAGGTAGTCCATCCCTTCACCCCCCCAAACCATGGAACACTATCTTCTGCTCCCAGCCATCATGATTTTGGATCACTGACATTCTTATTCAGGTGCACCGTCCTGTAAATATTGCAGATGTTTTTGTTTTAGCGTCGATCACGTGATTGCAGGATAGGTCAGGAATACGTTGCACGGAATGGAATGGATTGTGGTCCTTCGATTCCAGTATTCCAATGAAAACGCCCTGCCGAAAGAGCCTGTCTAATGGTCTTGTCCCGCTGCAGAATCGACCACTACCAGCAGAGGCTGCAGTCTCTCTACTTCAAGAAGAAGTTTGTAGAGAGAGTGTCTGAAATCAAGCCCAAAATTGAAGGTATGTGTGACACATTTTTGCATCCTAAGCAGAGGTTCTGCTGTAAAATCTGTGGCGTTTAAGTGCAAAGGTGAACAGAGTGAACCCAGTCATATGTCATGGGGTCCTGTGCTTACGGCACAGGGGAGTTAACACACCCAGGAAAGAAGCCTCCTTGTCCCCTCCTCTAGCTCTAAGCAAGGCATCCAAAGAGGTTCTGCACAGCCAAAACCTGAAGAAGCTGCTGGAGGTGGTTCTGGCCTTTGGCAACTACATGAACAAGGGCCAGAGGGGTAACGCTTACGGCTTCAAGGTGTCCTCACTCAACAAGATCGCAGACACCAAGTCCAGCATCGACAAGTAAGTCCAGGCCGGCTCCAAGCGCAGTGTGGCCCATCCAGTGCGGCGCGGCCGTAAGTGACAACTGCTGTGATGTTCACATCTTGCAGGAACATTACTTTACTGCACTACCTGATCACCATCTTGGAGGACAAGTATCCCAAGGTCTTGCAGTTCCAGGAGGACCTCCAGAATGTACCGGAAGCTGCCAAAGTCAAGTGAGAACTCACTGGAAGCCCGCCAAGTGGTGTTGCTGTGTTTCTGAATGTACCTCTTTTACAGAACATGAAATTCCCCCAGTGACGCTGCAGGGGGAAGAGTGAGATCTCCTCTCCTTACTCAGTCTTCGTTGGAACGTGTCTCTCTAAAGCATGAGGAGAGCTTCACAACAAAAACACCCCCAGAGAGCAGTGTCCCCTTCATAATCTTGCGGCCTTGCTCGTGATATTGGGGTTCAAATCCCAGCTAATCATCTGTAATCATCTGTACACATCTGTAATCCACAATTGTGTGTCTACAGATGCTATCAGAAAGCCTGCGTGTGTGTATGTTCCTCGTAGCTTTACACAATGGCCTGTCTGTGGACATCAAGAACAAGAGCGCCAGTGAGCGCCATTAGCACTGTGGCCTCCGTTGTCCTGCCTGCGATCGGAGCTTCCCTAACTTTGCCTTTCAAAGATGAGCCTTTTAGCCACATGGGAGTGAGAGGTCAGGGTCTGTCGGTGTTTGTTTGCTGCTGGCAGTGTGCCATCCTTAGCAGGCAGGGTTCAGGCATCTGCAGCGTGTGTGTTATGACTTCCTGCTGCTCTTCGTGACAGCGTGTCCCTGTGGTAGGACGTCATAAAACCGATCAGTGTCACACAGGCGGCGGACGTCCTGTTCCTGCCCGACAGTGAGCTTGGGAACAATGGCGCGGAGGAAATGATGTGTGCTGTTTCTCCACTTCCTGGCTCAACATGTGTTGCTTGGGGGGGTGGGGAGGGGTCATCTTCCCCATCTCCCCGCTCTGCTCCTTAACCATCTCCCTCACGTTTTTCCTGCAGCATGACAGAGCTGGAGAAGGAGATCGGCAACCTCCGGAGTGGCCTCAAGAACGTGGAGAACGTGAGTTCTGGTGTGGGGAACCACACTCACATGAACATCATGCTACCTAAAACAAACGGAGGGACTTGGAACCTTTTGACGCTTAAGTGCTTCTGTATTGATTATGAAGAGTAGCATGCATGTTACATGACTTATCTTTTGATTAGCAGGGTTCCCCTGTAGTTACCTGCCACGTGCGGACAGGGGCTCCCACATGACTTGGAGTCTCTCGCCCTTCTTGCAGGAGCTCGAATTTCAGAAGAGCCGTCCCCAGGTGACAGGGGACAAGTTTGTATCTGTGGTCAGCCAGTTCGTCACCGTGGCCAGTTTCAGCTTCTCGGATGTGGAGGACTCCCTACAGGAGGCCAAAGAGCTGGTGAATGCCCCGCCCACCTGCATCTATTTCAGAGGATGCTCGACCCCACCCCCCCCCACCCCACATCTCCCTATGTGGAAGGTGTTTCCCGACATGGCAGACATGGAAGGATGTTTGTGTAAGGTCAGCCTCGCGTTAATCCGACGAGCAGACAGGGCTCCCTGCTCCCTCCCTGGGCTCCTGAGTGTACGGAGCGTGACGTGAAGCTTGTGTCAGGATGGTCAACAGCGGGTGACCAGGTTAAGCAGCAGCTCAGCTTATGGCCAGTTCCCAACTGAAGCCCTTCTCTTGCACCCTTAGATGTGGCCCACAGGCTCCAGTGAAGAGTTCAGGGGTTTTGGTATTTAATATCAGTGGGCCTGCGCGCTTTAAGCTGTCAGGACCCCCACGTGTCAGTGGTGCAGGGGGCCGCTAGCCCTCACCCTCACCCACGAGTACTGCTGGGCTCCTGCTAAGCACCCTGTTCCTGGCCTCTCCGCCCCTACAGTTCATAAGGGCTGTCAAGCACTTCGGGGAGGATGCTGGCCGCATGCAGCCGGACGAGTTCTTCCGTATCTTCGACCAGTTCCTGCAGGCCGTCGCCGAGGCCAAGCAGGAGAACGAGAACATGCGACGGCGCAAGGAGGAGGAGGAGCGGCGCGCCCGCATGGAAGCCCAGGTGAGCCCCGCCCCCCTCCTTCCGCCATCCAGTCGCCCCCGACCGGTTCTGTGTGGTGCTTGATGGCATGCTCTGCTTCACCGTCGGACCCCCCCAGCTGAAGGAGCAGCGGGAGAAGGAGCGCAAGGCGCGGAAGAATAAGGAGAACAGCGAGGAGGATGGCGAGTTTGACGACCTGGTGTCAGCGCTGCGCTCAGGTGAAGTCTTCGACAAGGACCTCAGCAAGATGAAGCGCAACCGTAAACGAATCAATAGCCAGACGTCAGAGACGGGCAGCAGGGAGCGGCCAGTCACGAAGCTCAATTTCTGAGTGGGTGGGACCTCCGGCTTCTTTCTGGCTACCCATCAGAGGCACCTCCCTTCAGCCCCACCCCTGCCACAAATCACTCTTCTCGGGTCATGAACCGGAGCGGTGGGGGGGATGGGGGAGGGGACCTCTGCCCCCATGTCAGTGTGAGAAACTGAAAATGGACAATAAAAGATACAAAGTTGTTCTTTCAACCTCAGAAGCACACAGCTTAACGGTTACGTCTGTCTGGAAACAGACTACCAAAATATATATATCATTAATTAAAGGACATATGTTGATGAATCTGTCAAGAAAGTGACTCCATGGGTCCCACTGCAGGTCCCAAAGTCATGTGGGCTGTGCTCTCCCTGGCCCCGCCCAATCTTCCTAAGCAGGAAGTGAAATGGGCCATACCACTTAGGGGTGGTGACAGGGGTGCCGCTGGGTAACCCAGCATACCTTGTCCTTGCGTTTTCCACGCATGGGAGGGGGGGGGATTCTGTCCTGACCTCTGCCATCTCTGAGCCAAGGTGGGTAGGATATGGGACTCAGCATTCCTGTGCTTCCATAGAACATTCCAGACCGTCTGGCGTGGCGGGCTTGTTTTTAACCAAAGCAGAGCACAGCATATTTCTGCCATGTGTTACTCTTTTTTTTTTTAAAGATGATTTTTAAAAGTATACAGACATGTTTAAAACTACACTAGGCAATAGGACTCTGGTTTGGGTTGGAGTGTCACTGAATGAAACCAGTGAATTTTTGTTTTTGGTATGTATAGCCCAAAAGCGACATTTTTTTTTCTTCCTCACTCAAACACTGTGGACATAAAGAAAAGGTTCTATGCATATTAAAATGCAAAATGTATTTTTTTTCTGGTTTAAAGCGTGCGTGGGTGTGTGTATGTAAATATTCTAATACACATACTTTGTTGTACTTCAGATACTCAATGTATGTGTCTACATATGCACCCGGCTTTAAGTGTCATGTAAAAAATATGTATGTAATGATTAAAAAAAAAGTCCTATCTTTTTACCGTCGCGCGCCTTATGTGCCGATTTTCCCCCGAAGAAAGAGGGACAAAAAATTACGGACAGCCTTCTTTCATTGTGTAATACAATTTCCTTTTGTGTGTGTGGGACCTTTTACAAAACTTTTTTATTTAAAATTGCGTTGTAATGTGAGGTAATTGTTGCGTTAATAAGGAAATAAAGAATCTCGGAGGTGAAATTCTTTGTCCTTTTTCCTACTATTGCCTCTCAACGCTCTTAGTAAATCCGTATGTTAGGTCTACTCACTGTGGATTAAGAGCTCCCTCTGGTGGTCCCATAATTCATGATTTGCTAAGTAATTGTGTTTTTTTTTTTCCTTCAAAAAACTACAATGCCACCCGGACGCTCTTTTAAACGTAGTCTAGATAAACAGAGTACAGTGATTTGCTCTGTTATCCAGGAATGATTTCTAATGCTGACGTCTTACACCACAGCATGACTGTACAGTTTGATGTTCTAGACATTGTGTGGAATTTTTGAAAGCTTTGAGTCCAATTAATCGTTTAATCAGTCATTTTTTGTTCGCTGTGTTGGGACTCTGCATCTAGTATATTTTCATTAAAAGAGAATTTTTGAGTTTCTTCGTACATATATAGTGAATTGAGTTTAGCTTTTGATTAGTAGAGTGGCGAAAATTCATACCGATTTCGTGGAAGTAATTTATTCTTAAGATTACAGTTAAAACCGAGACAGAAATGTGTGCTGCTGCTGCCAGAGTGGGTTTTTTTTTTTTTTTTTTTAAACAAAGTGCCATTTCCAGGGATTGCCAATATCGATTTAATTGACCGCTGGTTCAAGGATATACATAAAAGCTTTGAAGGGGACACGGTTCATCTCATCAGCCCAGAGCTCCGTAAAGCTGAATGAAATTGAGTGTTTAGATGTTACAAAAGATGCATTTTATCCCGCCTGATTAAATGTCCCACCGTTGCCTCCAGAATTATACTTACAAATACATAGATTGCATTCATATATTACAAGAAATTTACATTTCTATTTGAACACAGATGAGAGAGAGGGAAAATTTAGCAGAACTTTTAAAATAGATTTTATGCTATATGTGACACGGGTGCCATCTGCTGGTTGTTGCCAGTAGTGAGTATTGTGTGTCCTCGCAAATAGCATTATAGTCCTATTATCCAGTCAAGAAACAACTGTTGATGGGAACGCACAAAACATTTCGTGAAGCATCAAACATTTAATTTTCATTTGCAAAATAGAATTTTACATCATTGGGTCACAAGCAGTTAGGCAATGAATTTCACTAACGTTACAAGCAGCAAAAAATAAATAAATAAATAAATTAACACTATATTCAGACAAAGTTTGAGGCGCCACGCCAATTAACATTCTAATTGGTGCGATGCCGGTACATTCTAGGAAATGTGCAAAACATTGTGCTTTAATTTGTCGGACACTCCAAACGTGATTTATTGTATCTGGGTGAGACTTGTTTGGTGAATCTTGTGACAACTCCTGTAATTGTGGTTTACATATTGTGATTTCATCCTGCAAATCATGTAAACAAACGTAGGCATTTCCGAACTTCCCTCACACTGCCATGGCATAGTGAACGGACCAGTCGCCCTAACGGTGGTAATACTGTCTCTCATCATGTAGCCCTAAATTTTTGTGAAAAGCTGCACAATAGAGCCTTAAAGTGTAATCTATTGACGGTTTGTCGATTTCGTTTTTTTTGTAATATTTATGTGAATATTCCAATGTAAAATGCCAATTTAGAGTGTATTTCCATGATTTACGTCGTATTGTCTGTTCTAAGTACGAACGTACGGTACACGTACTCTGCTGGATCTTCATTTCTATCAGTTTTGTAAGATAAATGATGCTTTTTAAAAATGTGCCTTCGGTAAACGTGTCTAAAATAGGCTAATACATAACTGGACGATAATCCTATTTTGTATTTGTGATGATGACCGGTAAGCGTCATTTTAAATACTTGTCAGATTATTAAACAGTTGTTTTGTCATTATAAAAACTGATCTCTGGCGATGATGGAAGCAAATGCTGTAGCCTGCTTTTCTGTAGAAAATAACTGAAAATTGCCACATAGTTTAACTTAAGTAGCCTACTAAATGTGGCAGCATTTTAAAGTAGGCCTACTGTGAATAAAATTCGTCCGTGGTGGTTTTGAAGAGCTGTTTTTGGTTAATTTACCCACAATGGTCTATCATCGGACACAATTAGGATTAAATAAAATGTACAGCCTGACCTGGGTTTAACTGGATTGTATTTGATAATGATGTAGGTTAAATATGAAAATGTTACTCTGATAGACAATTTTCTGACGTAGCAGTTCACGTGAAAAAAAACAAACTTTTTTTTTTTCAAATCTTAACTTTCACAAAGCCCATGTGCGGCAACTTAACTAATTTTTAAAAATACCTTATCAGTTGTTATTTTATTTTGTCGCCTTCTGCGCCAGCTCTTCTTTCACAGTGTCTACCGATGCTCTGTCAGCTGTGTGAAATGTTGCACGTTTACCTTACAGAGAGAGTTGGACTGCGAGTCTTTTCGTTTTCTTGTAGGACATCATCACCCGCCTTCCCCCGGGGGTTAGTTAACCACTATTTTGGCACAAAACAGTCGTCTTTAATGATTTGCTATTCTCTGTAATTATAGGCGCAAAATTAGAGCAAATCATAAACTGGTGTCAGCGGTCTCTGTTTTGGCTACGACGGATTGCGACACCGTGTCGGGGTGACCGTCCCTGCAAAAGAGCACGGCCGGGTTTTTGCACGCCCACATGGCGATGTCTCCTCCGTTGGCCGGACTGGAGGAGGAGAGCCGGCTGCCCACCCCATGCCTACTGGCGTACCTGTCCCTGATCCTGTCGGCCCGCGATCTGGCGTCTCTGCTTCGGTTTTGCGTTGACAGGTAGGCGGCCACGTTTCTAGTTCTGTATCCCTCCTCCCTGTTTCGTCCCAGAAGCATGGATATGTTCGGGTTTCTGATTACGTAAATCAGAGGGTTGATGGCCCCGTTTGCCCAGGCCATCCATATGGCCACGGTGTCCATCACGGGGCTGAACGTGTAGTTCCCCATGGCCGTGATGATCCCCATCAGACAGTATGGCCCCCAGCAGAAAATGATAAACACTATCATGATGAGCACCGTGGTGGCCGTGCGCATCTCGCTGTAGAAGCGGAGCAGGTGCGCGTACGTGGTCACCGGGCGCACTCTGATTTCTGACAATCTGACTGTCTTGCAGATGTTATAGTGGCAGAAGCACATGAGGGCAAATGGGAGCAGGTAGCACACCACGATCAGGGATATGCTGTAGGCAGCGCCCATTCTCGAGTTCCCCGAATGGAAGACGTACATGCAATGGTAAAAGCCTCGCTTGTGAACCACCAGTTCTTTGGATGTCCGTAACACTAAGTACCACGGCAGCGAAAACAACACCGCCGTCACCCACACCGCCACCAGCAGCTGGATGGCTTTCCTCTTCCCTATTTTCTCCTGCGGCTGCCTCACGATGGCATAATAACGGTCGAAGGAGATCAGGGTCATGGTGAGGGTGGAGATGATGCCGAAGCAGGTGTTGAAGAACCCGTTTGCAACGCACAACGGGTCCCCGAAAATCCAAAAGCCGTCTCTGCTGAAAAGCATCATGAATGAAAACGGTAAGCAAAGAATGGCCGTGAGGAAGTCGGATAGGGACAGGGACATGATGAAGGCGTTCGTTACCGTCCTCAGTTGTCTGTGCTTTATAATGATGACCACGACGGCCGAATTGCCTAAACTTGACAAGAGGAAAATTGCCAGGAGGACTAGCGCCTGGACCGTCACCGAAATGCCGTGGAGGATTGGACTCGCTTCCGCGCCCCTGGCCGGTCCAAGTCGCCGGTGCGGTTCGTCTTCCGCGGTGTGGTTTCCAGCGCTGCTTCCGGTGGCGAGGCCGTTCAGGACAGGAGACAGGGAAACGATGTCCAGCATCAGATCCCTCTCCGATGCGTCGTCTGCGGATGTGCTGTTGCTGGTGCCGAGCAAAGCCGTGTTCATAGACCAATCCATCGGACACGACTCGGGGGCATCCAATGCATGGATGGGGACACATCCCTTTTGGGATATTGCCAGCAGCCGATCAGCATCAACTCTTCAATGGTGCACGTGTGTCTTAAGCTTTACCTAGATTCTCCCACCGGATCTCGTCGCAGAATTGAGAAAACAGTCCCCGGATCATGCATCTGTCTGCTGTGCCTTTCTGTATCCCAGCAGTTTGTCTAGAGAAGGCTCTCCTTTTCATCGAATTAATCGCTTCCCTCAGTCACTCCCAGCCTGCGCCTGCCCCTACACTCATGTTTTGGTTACTCTGCTTCTCCCTATGACGTTGCGACCCGTTGCCAGGGTACCAAAGAGGACCCCCCCCCCTCCTCTGTAGTATTACGCACTTTAATATTAAACGCTACATTTTACAATTATTTCTCAAGCATTGCGTGGGAAATGGGCATAAAAGTCCAGTAGGGTTAGATTTTTCGTGGTGGAAAATGCCTGGTGAATTGAGATTTATTATTTGTGCTGGAGTGTTTCATTAAGAATGATATATCTACTGATGGCATGTTCTGATGTTTTAAGTTATATGACGAAAACAACATTTTCTACCGCATACCCAACCTCTGTACAATAGAACATGTGTATATCTACACACTAGATGATCACCTTTTTGTCAGCCTATACACTGAACGGAGCTGGTACACAAAACACTTGGTACTTAAGCTAGGCGTCCCGTAGCTGTGTGGCTGGATACAAAGAGTAATAAAAGCCCCCCACCCCCCGAGAATATCAGTTATGTTAAGAAGTAGTTCCATTGGTATCGATCAACTATCCAATCCACCATCATTTTCTGGGGAGTTTTTGCTGATCAACACGGATGAGATGATATAATAAGGCCTGTTCCAGCTTAATTTTATGTTCTAATTAGCCTAAATGTGCCGGAACAACATGCCCAGTTTTGTCTGCAGAGCAATCCGAATTCGTATAGTTGTACGTCACAATGAGTCGAAATAAGATGTGTTCTCGTCAGATGACCTCTCAGTGAGTCCAGCCGCTCCAACTGTGGGTCCGGAGTGTTATAACATATTCATTTAATTACATTTTTATAAAAGCTTCTCACTTCCTAACGTGAAAGCTCTAGAGGACATTGAGGCACGTTCTGAAAGCCTGCTTTTACACCTGAAGGTTTCAAATGTATAACTAGGAGGCCCCTCCCATGAATCCCATGTACAGACCCTATTTACCAAATATGAGTCATTCGTTAACTGTCATGGAAGGACCTTACATTAAAAATATCTACATTTTATACTGGACTCTGAACGATTTACCTTTCCCTTAAATCATTTAAAACTCATGCATTATTTATAAGGACAGAAAAAGCCCACCTCCCAGCGTTATAGTTAACAGTAAATAAAAATAAATAGGCTTAATTTATTAAACTGTTTTCCGTACCTAGTAAATTTAGACATGCTTTAGAGAATGCATTTTTTTATGTTAAGGGGATAAAATGTAGGAAATAAAAACATTGATCTTAAACATTGATCATAGATCTTAATAAAATATCGACTGAACTAATGGGTTGTCCAGCTTTCGTTGACTTCTTCTAACGCCGAAAGTGAGACGTCTGGAACGCTTTTAAGACCCTATTCGGCTTCCGTCGGAGAGCAGCATGTATCATGTGACTTCATAGCGTAGCTACACAGACGCGTATTCTTTAACCCCGATCGTTAGACCAGTGCCATTGGGGCTCTGCGCGCTTACGTAAAATTTACTAAGTACGTTTCGGGGCTTCCGTTTTTAATTCGTCTGGCGATGAGCTGAGCAAGAAAATCCACAAAGTTCCCTGTGGTTTGTTTGATTTAATTACGTTGGCCTTAAGAAACGATATAATATGGGTACGTGTGTTTGGCTCCTGATGTAGGTGATGTCAGAAGATGCGCGTCGAGCTAACTTTTCGTTCCCCAAAAGCGTCCAGCTAACCTGACGTGTGATCTTGTCGGATAGCTGTTACTGGTGTGCTGTGGAGTTAGCATATGCTAGCGCAGAAGTCGGTGTTTTTGAGCTGCAGTGTCGTATTTAAAAGCTGTCCTGCCGGACGCATCGTATTTCTCTTTAACCGTGTTTCTCTTCGCAGCTGTAGTCATGAGTTCAACATGCCCGGGTTTGTACTGTGGAAAGACGCTGATAAACGGCTCCTTTGAGAGCGAGTGCGGGGTGAGTGGCTACCCTCCTACCATGGGATAAAATGAGCTGTGTAGTAATAACCTTTATTTCTTGACCTGTAGTGTGCATGTAAAGTACTGTGAAAAGGTGCTTCGGTGAGGGCCGTAATCGGAATGTAATCGGGTTGGTTCTTTGAAAGGTGTGTCCTCGGGGGGAGAGGACCAACCTTCAGAAGATTTGTGAGAAGTGCACCGAGTCGCCGGAGCTGTATGACTGGCTGTACCTGGGCTTCATGGCCATGCTGCCGCTCGTGTTGCACTGGTTCTTCATCGAGTGGTACTCAGGAAAGAAGAGGTAGGGCCGGGCTGTTCTGGCATGCACAAGCTGCGCCCTCTTGCTGGTGCTGATAATGAGCCTGCCGCTTCTTCTCACAGCTCCAGCGCGCTGTTTCAGCATGTGACTGCTCTTCTGGAATGTGGGGTTGCCGCCGTGGTGACCCTGCTGGTGAACGACCCAGTGGGTCAACTATCCATCCGGTCCTGCAGGGTCCAGATGCTGTCGGACTGGTACACGATGCTGTATAACCCCAGCCCGGACTATGTCACCACCCTGCATTGTACCCAGGAGGCAGTTTTTCCACTGTGAGAGGCCCTGTTTCTGCACCTCAACACCCACCATCTTTTGATCTGCCTAAACATATGAAACAGTTCTGACTTCATCAGGAAAGATTCCTCTTGTGCGTTTCCCTCGTCCTTGTGATACCTGCTTCTTGGGTTCCTGATAAAATCTTGTTAATACAATTTAGCAAGACTTCATCAGGAAATGGTTTTACCTCCTCGCTGGAATTTGTAATATACTGGCAAGTAGCGTTTGATGCAGGTATCACAAAACACAAAAACGCTTATTTACCAAGCTGAATGAGGTGAATTTTGTAACAATTCCTTGTGTAAATAGGACAAGCATTCTGAACAACACCCCTTCTCTCCATGTTTGTGCTCAGGTACACTATTGTGCTGATATACTACGCTTTCTGTCTGGTCCTGATGATGCTTCTGAGGCCACTCCTGGTCAAGAAGATCGCGTGTGGCTTGGGAAAGTCGGACCGCTTCAAGAGCATCTATGCTGCCCTTTACTTCTTCCCCATCCTTACGGTCCTGCAGGCTGTGGGTGGTGGTCTGCTTTGTAAGTGCGAGCGGTGCTGTGGGTGGTGGTCTGCTTTGTGAGTGCGAGCGGTGCTGGGGGTGGTGGTCTGCTTTGTGAGTGCGAGCGGTGCTGGGGGTGGCGGTCTGCTTTGTGAGTGCGAGCGGTGCTGTGGGTGGCGGTCTGCTTTGTGAGTGCGAGCGGTGCTGTGGGTGGCGGTCTGCTTTGTGAGTGAGAGCGGTGCTGGGGGCGGTGGTGGTCTGCTTTGTGAGTGAGAGCAGTGCTGGGGGCGGTGGTGGTCTGCTTTGTGAGTGCGAGCGGTGCTGGGGGTGGTGGTGGTCTGCTTTGTGAGTGCGAGCGGTGCCGTGGACGACTGCGATCCGCAAAGCCGCGCTTAAGCTAATGGGGACCCTCCTCTCGTGTCTTTCAGACTACGCTTTCCCGTACATCATCCTGGTCTTGTCCTTGGTCACCTTGGCCGTCTACATGTCCGCCTCTGAAATACAGGTAGGAAACTTTCCGCTGTTTCTATTGTTAAGATGTTAATCGAGTTTGCTGTCATTGCTCATGTTCGGCAGGTAAATTTGAGAATCCTTGTCCTCCTCTTCCTTCTCCTTCCCCTTTCCTCAGTCTTTCAAAAACCTTGTTGCTAAGAAGAAGAGGCTGGTGGTGCTGTTCAGCCATTGGCTGCTGCACGCCTACGGCATCATCTCCATCTCCCGGCTGGACAAGCTGGAGCAGGACCTGCCGCTGCTGGCCCTGGTCCCTGGCCCCGCCCTCTTTTACCTGCTCACTTCCAAGTTCACGGAGCCCAACAGGATTCTGTCCGAAGGGGGCAGCGGGCACTGAAAAGGGGCCAGCCATCCCAAACTTGTAGTGTGCCCTCCAGCTCCTGGCGATGCATAAATATCCCCCTGCCCACGGTGGGCATGGCCCCATCTGTGCCCTGGCCGCACGGGGGGGAGAACAGGTGACACTGGCATTGCACGCTCTTCCTTCCGCTCACCCTGTGCCATGACACAGTCAGAACTGTAGGGCTCTTTTACATTCCTCTCTCAAGGACAGAGTTAAGTTCTGTGTGTGTGTGTGTGTGTGTGTGTGTGTATATATATATAAATAGATGTATGTATGTACAAAATAGAGTTTATATGTGTATCTGAAGTACTGTAAGGTGAGGGACGTAGTGCACGTGCATGTCTCTGCTCACGGTGGAGTTGGAGTCTTTCGTCGACGTTGATAAATTTGTCTTGAAAATGTCTTTTTGAAGTAGTCTGGTTCTGGTTTTTTGTCTCTTTTTAATCGACTGTGGACTAGTCCTCGTTCTGATGGAATTGTCTAACCTGTGAGACAGCAGTGCTGCTCCTGCACCGTTCCTCAAGGCTGATGTTGGATCCGTTTGGTAACGTGGGCTGGAATCTGTGTATGGGACTCGCTAATGCCACAGAATCGACATGCCAAGACGCTTTACTGTTCACACTGACTCACAGGTGTGTGTGTGCACGCAGACTGACATAGGGAGCGTAACACGATGGCTAGATACTGGATAAAACTGAATTTGCAATAGAGTTGCGTGTGTGGAATACTGACACAAGTACTGCTGGATGTAACCTTTGGTGCATAAGAACAGCAGCATGACCTAGGTGTTTGCCTCTCTAACAATACGCTGTGTGCATGGTCTCTTTACATGACGTCGTCTTGTTCCCGCTGCTGCGTCTGATGTTTTGGTAACTAAAAATTTTTTCCTCTCTGAATGTTTAAATAAGAAAAAGTACGAGTTTACGTAAGCATTTCTATTTATGATTTTAAAAAAGCGGGTTATCTTTAATATTTAAAGAAATAAAATTACTCTGCTATAACTGAAGGAGAGTTTCTCTTTTCTTGTTACTTTGTGTTAGTTTGTAAGTTTTGGCCCGAGTACTCAAACTGCAGCACCCTTGACCGTCCTAATAGAAATGTCTGGAGTTCTTATAGAACAGGGGTGGGGAACCTAATCCATGGGGGGCTAGTGTGGGTGTTGGTGTTTGGGATGACTTCAGTCGGTCAATAACAGTGGGTCCCCAGGACTGGATTTCAGAACCACTGCTTTATTATTAGCTGATTGTCTGTCCATGACATACTAATTCTATATGGTAGGGATCCTATTCTATGGTGTTAGGCTTCATGGTCATAACTCGATGCATTCAGATTGGCCAGGTATGTGATTTGCCTGCAGTACGTCTGAACAGGGAAGCTGCACCCTCGACCTCTACCCTCAGCTTGTCACCAAGCTCTTCAGCCTTGTGCTTCAACTCTTGCACCTTTAACCCAACCTGGTTGATGGCTTGGAGGACGGTCTGGTTGGTCTCTGCGTGTTCCTAAGGTAAAGTTGAGGGATTTGTGGTCAGGACCAGCAGGGGTGGCCATGAGGATGTTGCAGGTAGAGGACAGAAGCTGGAGAGCCATGATGCTTACCTCCGTGAGCAAGAGGTCTGTTTTCCAGGCATCCAGGACACATTCTATGGCAAGAAATGTCCACATGAGGTTATATAGGCATGACAGAAGATTTGTAGAATCAAAGTCAAAGGTATGGTGACTATATCTTCATAGGTTTGTAAGTTTGGTCACAGCTGAGCTGCATGTTGGGTCACTGCTCGCCGGTGTTCACTCATCCCAATTATGCAAGTTCTCAAGTTTGCACCCTTGAAAGAGTCTTTTGAAGTTGCTGCCAGGACTCACCGTGTAAGGATTGCAGCTCGCGCCGGAGGTGCGCTGCTTCTCTATTCCGCCACTCTCTCTCTCTCTGTTGGTATTGCGTATGTCTGCCTTCATCTCCTTAATGTTCTGCAAAACCAAAATAGTTGGCAGTAATGACAATAGCAGTATCTGCTGGCCTGTCCCCGCCCCTTATCTGAGCCGTGCGTCTTCTGACTGATCGCAGCCGGCTGTTCTCCAGGTTGACCTGTTCCAGCATCACGACATCCTCGTAGCTGCTCTTCTCCAGTGCTTGTGCTCTCAGCAGTTGCACATGTTGAGCATTCAGCCTTTTCATCTTCCGTTTTACGTCCTCCTGCGCGATAAAGTTCATGTACTGTTTTCTGCATGTTGGTATGTATTGCAGTGAGAAGATTCCGCAGATGCCCTCTTCAAGATTCTGCTTTTATCAGGTAATTTTCTTCCATTTAAAAAAACTCACCTATGATATAAATCATAGATCGGAACGATTCCTGTAAGTATAGTCCTCTCTTGGTTTATATGGAGAATATTCTTTATCCCTTTTTGTTTCGGCATGTACACTGTCTGGCCAAAAAAAAAGTTACCGTTTGAAATTAAATCAAGTACTTAAGAGCCAATGACTGCATCATTATTGCAGCTCAGCAACATTATGCAGCATTAAAGTGAAGTCAGCTGAGTACCTCAATCTCCTGAATGGCCGGGTTACCCCATCAATGGGCTTTTCCTCCCTAATGACACAGGCGTATTCCAGGACAAGAATTCATCAGATGATTCATCAGGCATGAATTGTCAAAGAGTGGTTCAGGGAGCATGAGGAACCATTTTCACACATGATTTGGCCACCAGGGTCTTGACCTTAACCCCATGAAGAGTTTTTGGGATGTGCGGTAGATGACTTTGTGGAGTGGTTCAACTCGCCTGTGGTCAGTACAAGATTTTGGCAAAAAATGAATGCAAATCTGGATGGAAAACAATGTTGAGATGTTGCATAAGCACCCAGAAACAATGCCAATGTGCGCCATAATCAAACCTAATGGCAGTCCAATAAAATATTAGTTTGTGACATTTTTTTGGCCAGGCAGCGTATGTTCCTGTATATATGCCACTATACATTTACGTGTCTGTACACTCATTTGATGTACTTTGAAACCAATGCACAATTTCCATTACACAATCTCAATATTTTTATGTTGATGGAAATCTTGCTTAAGTTATGTTTAGATGTAACCCTTTAACCACTACGTGCATTCTATAAAAAATTAAAAGTTTGTTTACCAAGTGATGTGAAACGGATGTGTAGACATGCCAGTTAGAGAGGAACTCACCTTTGGATTTAAAAGTGCCTCCGTGTCCTCTGTCAGCTGCTGGACGGACTTCTCCAGCTGGCTTCTCTTGCAGTTCAACTCTGAAACCGTAACCCTACCATGAATCCCTTTACTACAGCACCGGTGGGCTCAGTGTGGACAGATTACCACAATGCCATCACTTGCTTTTCAGTGAATTCCCGAGGTATTCTGCCGGTCACCTGACCTGCAGCATGCCACGTGAACTCTGCATAGCACACCGATTCACTGAGAGCAAGGGGACGGGTGCAGATGGTGTAGAGATGTGAATAGCATGTGTCATGATAAGCAGTGCTGGGCTGCTGCACCTTCAAGGTGTGACCTCCAGGTCTGCCAGGCAGCCTGATCCATGTCCTGCTTGGCCTCCATGTCCTGCTTGGCCTCCATGTCCTGCTTGGCCTCCATGTCCTGCTTGGCCTCCATGTCATGCTTGGCCTCCACCTCCTTCAGGACAGACTCTTGCACCCTTAGTTCCTCCTCTCTCTTCAGCAGCTTCTCTTCTACAGATTCAGCTTCTCTCTTAAGGAGTACATTAAATATGCACATTTCAAATGCAGCCACCTACCCAACCTTGGGAAACATAATTGGATTCCTGTATTAGAAAAGACATTTATGCAGTAAACAAAATGTAATTAACAAACCAGTTCTGTCGTGAAATAAAGGCAAGTAAGTTTGGGTAGATTTCAGTCTGTATACAAATAGCACATGTTTTTAAATTTTTTTAACACCAGATAATGAGACGTTCCGGCTGGGAGGGGTATGGCAATAATGAGCAAGGAAGTAGCTTTATTTTTCTGTCTGAGCTCCATACCATCAATTCTTCTATTGCAGCAGTGCTGGAAGCTTGCATGTGTTCATATTGCTCCTCTGCTATCTCCAGGGTCTTGCTGAGGTCTTCACCTGAAGGTTCCATCAGCTGGTGCTCCTGGTGTTTGATTTTCTGATGTCACTTGTGTGTGTGTGTGTGTGTGTATATATATATATATACAGTGCTGTGGAAAAGTCTTAGGCAGTTAAAGAAAATGTTTATAGCAATTTATCCTGGTAGGAAATGTAGAATTGCTCAGAAAAAAAAAACTATCTAACATTTTGACATGAAAATGAACAACAACACAATCAAAAATGAACAAGAATTTAATCTGTTCTCCAAAAAGTTACTCATAAACTCTGCTTTGCTTCCCAAAACTCTCCTTAGGGGCACCTTAGCCATTCTGTGTTTTCGTTAAATTTCTCCATCAGTTCAATTAATTAATTACTTGATTTGTTAAATAACTCAATGGGGTTTTGTTTAGCCATACAAGGTGGGGTAGCGGCCGAGTGAAAAAATACATGGGTGTATTGAACAGTTACTGCAAATACTGTGGTGATTTTAGGTGACACAATTTGACAGACATCACAATATAGTTTTACATCTAGTGGTGGAAAGTTCAGGTCCAGAAAGTACATATTACCAACCAGTTGAGTATAAAGACTCACAGAGTACTCAATTGGTTGGTTGAAACAAAATCTTGGTCTGGGTTTGTACATTCGGGACCAGTGGCCTGTACTACGAAGCAGGGTTGCTGGCTTATCAGGGTAACTTGTCGGATTTAAGGTAGTCTGGGCAAAATGTAAGTGAACGAATATGAAGTCCATTTAAACTATGGTACCTTAAATCCGACAAGTTACCCTGATAAGCCAGTAACCCCGCTTCGTAGTACAGGCCACTGAACTTTCTACTTCTGTTTACACCAACATGAAGATCACATAAACATAATTTTCTGCTGCCTAAGAGTCTTGCACAATACTGTATGTTCACGTTGAACATTTCTACTTCATGTAGTTACCATGGTGATCTGAATAGCTTGATGTATGTGCTTTTATTGGTGTGATACTGAGCTCTAGGGTACAGCTGTGGTAAGATATGAACCTCAAACCCATCAGTTTATCCTTTTCCATATGCATAGTTCATATACAGACAGCTGCCCACGTATGTGAGACCTGGGAAGAAGGTCTAACCTCTTCTTGTAGATCTGCCTGTTTCTTCCTGTTGGACTTGATGGCCTCAATGATCTCCCTCTCATGTTTCTCATCCGCTTTGTGCAAGTCTTCTGAAGATCTCCAGATCACATCTACTTGGCTTAGCACCGCCTCCCTAAGCCATAGAGCTGGGTGTGACATCTCAGTTGTGTCTTCATGGTACTTTCTAGGGACAAAAGGGCACCTGGACCTTTGTTTTCCAGCTGGTTTTCTAGCTCAGTGTTTCCCAATACCGTCCTTGGGGACCCACAGTCGGTCCAAGTTTTTGCTCCGGGAGCTGGTAGGGAGCAAAAACGTAGACTGTCTGTGGCTCCCCGAGGACTGGATTGGGAAACACTGCTCTAGCTCATCCACATTTGGATTCCACAGTTATTCTGAGGACAGTAATAAATTTATCATGAGATGGGCAATGACTAACTGTCCTCTGAGCACCTGTGAATCAGATTGAAAATCAGGATGGTGAACAGATCCCTGGGTCATGGGGATCGAAGGATGGAATGGGGCAGTTTTATTTATGCTTGAGTGTGAGGCACATTTTATCCAACACTGATAGTTGAATATTGAGATATACTATAACTGATACTTGTTTTAATTAGTTATAGATACATGCATGGTCTCGCATGAGTCCCTCATCTATTTTGGCCTCCTTGTATGCTTCTGAGAGTGAATCAGGTCAGACCTTTCGACCACTCACTGACAGTGTGAACTCCTGCTTCTGAGAACTGTCTGTTCTTTTAAAGGTCACCAGATGCCCTTTGATGGGTCGTTTTTAAAAGATCAATTTAACTAAAGAACAGAGGCTCCTGGCTCTGTCCAGAAATCGATTCTGTACACCTCAGACTCAAGGAACAAGGTTTGTGTTCTACATGTCGCCATCACTTTTACTCTTGTTTACCGCAACAATCATCTTTGTGCCAGTGTGTTGTCATCTTTTGAAGGAAGGATCTGCGGTATCGTGCGGCCAGGCCACAAAGCTGCTCCACAGTTACGCAAAGCTGACAAACAGCATACTACTGTCAAGAGCAGGGTCACAGATGGGGATGTTTCTAACCTGTAACTGCTCCTGTAGGACCTGAGACTTCTCAAAAGTCCCCCACAATTCAGCCAGCTCCATATCGTGGAAATCCCTAATGGAGCAGGGGACTGAAAACCGGCAAAAACTGGAACTGGACTCTGCAGTGAATCATTAAAGACAATCGATGGAGTTCTGTGTGTAAAATCAGCCAAAGGAGGCATACTTCAGACTGCTGCACCTCTGCATGCGACTCCCCCAGCTGCCTCTCAAGGAGCTGAATCTTGGTGTCCAGCCTGGATATACTCCGCCCCATGTGGGTGATCTGCTGTGAAACAGTGAGCATAAGCACTGACTGTGTGATACCTGACCACAATGGGGGTAGGGAGTGGACTGTGCCCTAGATAAAATTGTGACCTTGAGATGACCTTTGTATCACACAGTGTTATGCTGGTCTGATGAGTCATGTTGGTTTTTTTTTTTACTTCTCCACAAGTAGGTGCTAAGCTTAACAGAATAAATACAGCTCTAGAAAAAAATTTACAGACCAGAGCAAAATTTTTATGTTTCACTCATTTCTCAATTTATGGCTATGCGCCTGTGAATAATATACATTATTTTTGCAAACTATAAGCTGGCCCTTCCCTGCTTCTCATTGATGAAGGGCATCTTCCTTGCTTCCAGGAACCTGTTACGATCCTGTCCTAGCAGTGCACTTCACGCCACTTACTGTTTCCCATTCTTTTTGAAGGTCACTTGAGGTCATCCTCTGATTTATGAGGCACTGCTGGAAAAGTTGACGGTCATCTCCGGCATTAGACAGTTCCTTCTGCCCTCTACCTGGCTGGATTTTGGTGTCTTCTGCCTCACCTTATTCTTCTGTCCTGCTGAAGCTTTGAGCCTGGAAGTAGTCTGCCTCGCAGTGTAGCCGCCTGGAAGCAGCCTGCCTCGCAGTGTAGTCTTCTGCCAGCTGAGCCAGGATTAAACCAGGATTTAAAAATGCAGATTTTTAATATAGAGTGGTTTCTTAATTCTTTCCAGAGCTGTATAGACAAACAGCATTCCAGTGTTTCTTTTTGGGTGGAGTGGAGGGATGGAGTGGCGAAATAAATTTTAACTTACAAATTAAGTTTAAAGGTTAAATTGCCGTTGATTAGACTAACAATGCGGTGATTAGCAAACGGGCGCTACACTAGCGAGCTCCTTACGTTTCCGCTCGCTAGCACGATCGCCTTCGGAAGTCACCCAGCATCTGAACATCAGTCCGTGATACTGCCGGCCTTTAACTCCCCCCTTTGCACAGTCTTGCGACTGAGTACATCGTTAACGTACGTGCTGTAAAGCGCCCACAACGAAGCCACACGCTGACTGCTGTTTTGCTGCTGATACGGCGCACGTTTTACTGTAAAGCAAACTAAAAAGTACTAATTAGCAAGGGGTTTGTTCATTTAAGACGATGTGCCCACGTCGAAATGAGGAAAGGCACTGGCTTTCAGTGGGAAGGAACTGATGTACATGCTGACCATACATAATTTAAAAACATTCGAGTTATCAGTTTTTCCAAATAATCAACTGAATTATTTAATTTACACCACTTTCCATATGGACTAAACCCTTAGTCCGTAATCCGTATGGTGACTATGGTGATATATCCAGGAGCAAAATAACCCTCAGGCACTAGGGACGTGAATATTCTGAGAATCGATTCTGATGTTAAAATATCGATATTAACCTGTTAATATATATTTTTATATATTTTATTTTAACAGCAGGATATGAACTACTACAAGGCAGGGCTGCTCCCTGCCAAGTTTTATCGTCAGGGTTGCTCCAACACCGAATATCAATATCGGCGATGACAGCTTTGGATCTAATCGGATCGAAAGGAAGATCAGCAGTATTGTCCATCCCTACCAGGTATGCTGCGCTCATACCGCCTGTGCTTTTTAGCGGGTGAAATCACCTACGTTCCCAACCCAGTCCTTAGGGACCCCAGACAGTCCACATTTTTGCTCCCTCTCAGCTCCCAGCCAATCAAGAACACCAAACACCTGGTGCAGGTGTTGAGAGATGGAGGGAGCAAAAATGTGGACTGTCTGGGGTCCCTAAGGACTGGGTTGGGAACTACTACCATATAGAGAATAGACCATGTGTCCTCTTGCGCAACTATGCCGATGTAAAACACATCACTGCACTGAGCTCCTGCAGTTTTGTTCTGTTCGCTTTTCAGCGTTTATCTAAAATAACGTGGAGGTATGTTTGTGTGGAAAGCATGTAATTACGCGCAATCAAGATCAGACACTACCGCTTACCCTGTTTGTAAGTGTTGGCTTCCGTTCAGTAAACTTGCATCTTATTTGAACCATACAGTCTTTCAGATCTTCCTGAGCTTTTTTTGCTTGACCAATTTGCTTCCTTAAGCTCTGAATTTTTTTATTGGTGTCGTTGGTAAATATTTGCTTGCTTGCTTTCTGTGACCGGTTATAGTGTGACTGTTTGATAGCATCTTCGTGGCTAGGTTTCATAAACGCTACCTCTTTCCTGTAAGAAAACACGCAAAGTTAATGTATAAGCTCGTTACTTCACGGCGTCTCTGCAGGTTATACGCCGGCCCAGCCGCTTCTGGTCACAAGTGCTTTTTTACTTCAAAGGCTTCGGTCAAATTTTGTTCTGTCAATCACACGATATTTCTAGGGTTAAACTTAGTTTTTACCGGAGCCACATTGTGAACACGTCTACTATGCATGAGAACTTTACTGTATAATAGGCTACGTATAAAATATTTTAAGAAAGGACATGTGTGTTTAATATAATAGGCCCAATATAATGAACAATGTATGCTATTTATCATATCTCTCGCCTTTTCTCCATGTAGGCCTACTCGATGTCCTGCGCTGCGTCCTGTATCTCCGCCTGCAACGCATCTATAAAGTCCACATCGGTGTTTCTCGCTGCGGCACAGAAAGGTAAATTATTAATCAGATAAACTGTTGGACCTTTAATAGGAGACTGGATTCACATCATGCACATGGTTCTGGATGCCCTGGTGTCTGCATATATGGGAAAACGCACCTGATCGTGCGTTGCAGTTGCGAAAACCGCACAGCATTAATTCACACGTCACACAGACCAGATTAATGGGCTGCATTTTTGCGCTTGCGTATGACGGTGATTAGGGTGGAAAGGACTGGGGCATCGGTGGGGAAGAAGGGGGCTCACATTACCAGCTCTTTCAGGGTGGCTGATATTTTCTTCAGGTGGCGGCTGACCTCCTCCCCGATCGAAACCCTTTCGCTTTGCAGTTTTTTGTCTGGAGGCATGAGCGCTGCCTCAGTTCGATCAAATAAACTGACACCATCATGCAAAGCACAATTTATTAGGTATGCATTTAATGTCTAACCGGCCAACGCGTACTCACCCAACTCACATAAATGTTCCACTACAACCAGGACCGTTGGCCGTCCGGACAGCAACCTTGACGCCATGTGGCGAGTTTACAGATTATATTTTATATTTTTCCGATCGGGAACGCTGCACGCGGTCGTCCTCGAGAGCGAATCAATGTTTGGTTGTCCTGGTAACTGGTTCACGCCCCCACCGCATTTAGATTTACCTCTTGTGACTGAAGGAGCGTCACCAGCGATTTATGAAGGAGGGAGGTATGCCTTTTCTGTTGGAAATGGCTCATATTATGTAATTAATCAGTGTATTTTTATTTGAGGGAGCTAAAGCACCCACAGAACAGCCATAGCAATGCCAGTACTGCTGATGCCATCCCCAGTAACAAAGTTTCTTCTACGCCATTGGGTTCTTGGAAAACGCCCGGTATGCCAGATGGCCAGGCCAGTCCTGCATAAACCTCATTCCTGAAAAGTAAAAACTGTTTCTGTTAATTTTCATGCAGGTTTTTCAGTACGTCGCTAAATCACCGTATGTCTTTAATATTGAGGAACCGACAGCGGTAAATGCCCCTATATTAGTGTTTCCATTTGTTGGCATAATGACGCTTATCATACCGGAAAATTTGCTGTTTCTTATTAATTGTACAACTGCAGATCTCTTTATTCAAAAGATAATACTCATAAGAAATGTGTCCGAAAAACTAGACAATTTCGCCATACGGGATTTCCTAGGTGACTGTGTAAGAGTTTGTCTGCCGGGGGGGGGGTGGGGTACATGCTGATCTCACACAGCTGTTCAGTGGCGTCTCATGAGGACCAGCTCTGCTGGGTGTTACTGCCCTTGTACAGTGATGACTCAAGCAGCCGATAAATCGCGCTCCCCTTTAATCAGCGTTTCCAAAATAAGTCCAGCGTCTCTGTGATCTGCATGCAAGATCACCTTCAGACGGTTACCCGCCCTTCCCATCTATGAGTCACAGGGAGCAGCCCCAACCAATGCAGCAGAGGTCCTCCATCATCCATTCGACTAGAGGCCTTTCCAGTGCCTTACAGTTTATAAGAAGTGTGTCTAGTCCTTGTGAGATGCTGGGAAATCGCAAACACCCATAAGTCTGTAGTGAGAAGGCCTCTTAACGTCTCAAGTGAAAACAAACAATAAAAATCCACCAGGTGGCAGCAAAGCGCTATCAACACAGAGTCCTGCTGATAATTTCGCTGTCATTTCTGAATATCCAAGGTTAACACAAAAATACAACAAAAATGATGTGGCTGTATTTTGTTTGTGCTGTTTTGCATATTATAATGCAAATTTTACTGTTAATCTCAGTAGAGTCCCAGGGGGGTATTTTTAAGGGTAACGTTATCTGGTCTGTGATTTAGCAGTGCGTGGCATGCAAAAACGATTAGCAAGAAAGTGACAAATTGCGCAATTATGCATTTAAAGGTGGGTGTATGCATAGCTTCAGGTAGATCTGTTGCCTCTCTGCTCCCTTTCAGGAAACTTTGCAAAAAGCCACTTTCCCACTGAAGTTCATGGAACTGGCTCCTGCAGGTGCCAAGTTCCTGGGCGTTCCTGACTGGGAACTTTTGTGGCTTCTGGTGCTAAGTTCCTGGGCCCTTCCTGACTAGGAACTTTTGTGGCTCCTGGTGTCAAATTCCTGGGAACTTTTGTGGCTCCTGGTGCCAAGTTCCTGGGCCCTTCCTGACTGGGAACTTTGTGGTTCCTGGTGCCAAGTTCCTGGGAACTTTTGTGGCTCCTGGTGTCAAGTTCCTGGGAACTTTTGTGGTTCCTGGTGCAAAGTTCCTGGGAACTTTTGTGGCTACTGGTGTGCCCGGGAACTTTTGTGCCAAATTCCTGGGAACTTTTGTGCCAAGTTCCTGGGAACTTCTGTGCCTGAGAACTTTTGTGCCTCCTGGTGCCAAGTTCTTGGGCCCTTCCTGACTGAGAACTTTTGTGGCTCCTGGTGCCAGGTTCCTGGGCCCTTCCTGACTGGGAACTTTTGTGGCTCCTGGTGCCAAGTTCCTGGGCCCTTCCTGAACTGAGTGAAGGCTGCTCATCCCAGGTCCTGGGACCTTATCCCTGCAGGACGCTCGATTGTCAGGAGCAGTGGTGGTCATAAACTAGTTAATGTTAACGTTTGAAGCCTGGTGCATCTAGCAGTCAGAACAAGAAGTGCAAACATCCTGCCCCCCCAAAATGAAAAACATTTATTAGTAGCCCCAGTCTATTGTTGTGCATATTAGTCTATTGTTGTGCATGTCAGTCTATATTTTGTAATGTCTTGTACTAGTCAAACTAATACAGCGCAGGAGTATGCACAATAGACTAATATGCACGCATGTTTACTTGTACGCCCTTTCTGACAGTTTCCTTACCCCAACAATGTCATTCCCTCATCTTATTAATGTATTTATGCTAACACATATTTATACTGTTTAGTATAAACTAATACATTGTTTTTCAACATTATTTTTTACAAGCATATGTAGCCTGTAGACCGCCAGGCATGGGAATGCCACTCAGTAGCTTGAACAAGTGCTCCATGGACTCCATTAGCAACAATGATGTACTGTTTGCTTATCTTACCTGAAGGTAGTTCAGAGGTGGGTTTAACATCAAGAATCTCTTTAAGCCCCTTAACACAACCAGTGCAAAATTTCGCCTGCAAGGTTTTGGGAATCTTTTTGCCACAATGAGGAGAATACATCTTTGCATTTTTCTGAAACTCTTCTTGGTTCATGTTCCTGTTATCTTCCTTCCTTTTGTCCGTCCAATCAGCGACTATCCTTGTCAAATACAAATGTACCAACCATTTGTGGTAGAAATTAATGTTGTATTCAGCGTTTAGGGAGCACATTTTTCATTTGGGGGATGCACTATGCATTTGGAGGGCATTTTCATTTGAAAGCACATTTTTCATTTTTTTTTTTTGGGGGGGGGTTTGCACTTCATGGCCACCATACATTTAACCCCCATAACAGTTTCTCTGACACAAATAACTTAACTATGGTGTCGTTAAGTCAACTCCATTAAAAATTATTTGCTACCTGTAATTTTGGATAAAAATGTACCCGTTCTGTATTCAGATGTGCTGTCAAGGCAGGCTCTCATACGCCTCAGAGCGGAATTAAACCTGCGGTTGATTGTGGCTTTAAAATTATTATTAGTTATAGAAAGCCAACAGTGTTCTCTGCTCCCAAAATGATTTTTGATTGTACATGAAACCGATTAAAGATGAGTGAGTCAAAATCCTTCCTGTCTTGAGCTTAGTGTAAATTAACCCACAGGAAACGACTCTGGGTGTATCTGTATGCTGAAGCGTAGCGCTAGCTCTAGGGATTGTGTAACCTGCATACCGAATACCGAACGCTAATGGACTTACACAGATTTTTTCTGCTGAAGCTTGAAATGCAAACGCTCCGAAGGCGTCCCTACGGAACCTAGTAGAGGCCACGAACAGTTCTTAAAAAAATATCATGCGGACGATATTCTAAATGTACGCACAATCTAACTTAACGTGTCCACGAAATACTAATTCGAGTTTACGAAATCCCTGAACGTGCATACGATTTTCTTGTACACTTGCTCACTGCGGTCCAGTCAATGAAGTCATCCGTATATAATGTTCTGGTGCGCACATACTAAAGTATTACGGTAGCAAACGTATTCGCTCAAATCTTTGCAATAAGGCATAATGTGGCCCCCATTCCAATTTGAGAACGTTATTCTATATTTCACAAATAGTCGCACAAAGTTTCAAAGCTCTATGGTGGAAATTAGGGGTTATTGCAATTAAAATCTATACCTATATACTGTAAAAACAAATACGTGTATACACCATATACATCTCTGAGCCTTTCTAATAATGCATCGTACTTCCTCCGTTTCAATGTAGTGTTGTTTTGCTAGATTTGTCACATGTCACCGCGAAGTATCAAATCAACGGTGAAAGTTAGGGGCTATAGTAATCTAATTCTTTATACTGCCAATGGTAATATTAAAAATCTATACATATCTGAGCCTTTATACTAATGCATAATGTCTTCCATTCCAGATTTATTCTCCAGTATTTTTAATGGACGAAAAGAACGCTTTGTGGTCGTTTATTTATCTTTTCCAAATTTGTGTATTGGGATTTTTTTTTATGATTATCCATTTAGCTTTTTTTGAATTCAGTAACAATTTATTTACAGCTAGTACTCGCGCGCTTAACTATGTGTGAATGACCTGACCACAGTCCCATGATTCCAGCTCTTGGCTTTGCGGGCACAAACTGGAAAAAAAGGATGGCTTAATTCGAGAGCTCGAAATAGTAAATTGAGAGCACGAATAAAAGTAAATCGTGTGCACATTTTAGGGTTTTCCTGAGCATGATTTAGTATTTCGTGCGCACGTTAAACTAAATTGTGCGCCCAATCTCGTATATGGTTCGAAATAACAATTTAAAAACTGTTTGTGGCCCCCCCAGGGCTCCGAACATCCCAAAGCAGCATTCAGACATAAAATACGCAGAGCGGGACAGCACCGCGCAGTCCGGAAAGATCCCAACAGGGGGCGCTGTTGT